CCTGGTCGCCCTGGCAAGAAAGCTTGGCAGCTGGTTCCTCCCCCCCCACAGCACACAGAACGCTTCAATCCCCATCTGCAACAAGTTGGTGACCTGTAGAGCACTGCTCACTCTTTTTCTTCTTCGAGGCCTCCGCATTTCGACACGAACTGGCAAGTTCCCCCACGCCAGCGGCGGTTTCATACTGACTGACTGCCGTGTTGACATACACGTGCAACTGATGGCTTGGCGCGTGTGACTGCCGTGCTGCCTCCCCCATCCGTGCTTCGCGTGGTGTGGTGCTTGCATAGAGAGGCGCGTGGTCCGTGTGTGTGTGTGCTCCGGCTTCTTTTGGGGGCAGAACTGTGTTTATTAGCTTGCCGCACGGCCTGTACAGTACTCCAGCATACGCCGGATATGCCAACGTGCTCCACGGCCTGTACAGTACTCCAGCATACGCCGGATATGCCAACGTGCTGGTTGTCAAAGTCAAACCGCACTGAAAAACGACATCTCCGTATCACACAAACTAGCTAGCCACACGCTGCAAGACAGACCAAGCAGCAGCTGAAGATGGGTGCAGAGGTATCCTGTAGTGGAAGTAAATAGCGCGGCGAGCCTATGTACCGTATACCACCTAAGATACCACCCTCTCTGGACCGATTTTCAAAGCTCGATTTCTCAACCGCAGAAAGAGCCGCGGCGCCGAAAACGGCGGCGTTGCCTTCTCGTCGACACTTTTCCGAAAAAAAGTATGTTCGTTTGTGCGTCCTCTTCGTCGTGGCGCAATCGAGCTTTGAAAATCGGCCCAGGGGGTGTGTTGTCTTGTGCCGTAGACTACGGTAGGTATGAGCCTTTACCATTTCTGCTGTGCATGATCGACATGCTACATGTCGTGCTGCGGTCTTCTGTGGCAGAATTTTCTGCACACTGCGTTCTTGTCCTCGGGTGTGTGTGCGCCAAAAACAAGGCGTTTGTAGGCTATTATTACGTACCGGTCTGTATTTACACAAGGTAAAGGTAGCGAAACGCCGAGTTCCGTGAGGCGCATCTTCTTGAAGTTTTCAGATTAAAGTCTACAGAATCTTCCAGCCAAATTATGTACGACCACCACCCAAGGACGGAAGACCATTATCTTGTGGATACTCCGACAGCGTGAAAATCGGCATCTTGCAACTATTTATTTTTTTTTCAGGCGTGTACAAGGACACGACCGCGCTAACCGACAACGTCAGTGTCAAGGCCCTTGATAGTGAGTCCCAACTCCCAACCAATGCAATACCTGAATAAAGGGGTTTTCCACGGCGGTTGGTCGGGAGGTCTTTCCACGCAGCAACAGAGCATGAATTCGCTACAAAACTCAGACATATCTTTCGCCTTGCACCACGCCCTCGACTCCACAGCAGACTAGCTACTACCGCATGGTAATCTCGGTTGCGGCGTGAACTCTGTACGCACCCACTTTACAAAAAGCGTTTTTTTCCCCCTGAGTTACTGCTCGGCAAGCTCTTCCTTCCTCATTTGCCGCCGTAAGTAAGAAAGTCCCGCGCGCACAAGCTAGAGATAGACTCATTCATGCTTGCTATCGATCACTCTTCGCAATACTTGCATGTCTTTTAGAGTTGAAGGTATTTAATAGGCTACGTACAAGTTGTACTTTATTTTCCCCGAATCCTTCCCCTTTCCTCCGCCAATCATGTTATCTATATGGTCGTCGTGACGTGATACACTTCTTGTTTTAGTATGAAAAAAAAAAAATGGCTCGTTTTTTTTATTTCTACAGCAGTATGGACCAGACGCCGACTGTACATAGAAGTTGTACGCGTGTCGACTCGTTGTGCTGTCACGGCATCTTCCACGCACTTCTGCCAGTGCTGGTTTGTTGATTGGAGTCTTGGAGGTCGAGATACAGCAGTGGGATTCTCGGGTTGTGGAGGCAAAAGTCTGGCTGGAACCACAGCAAAAAATTGCAGGCATAGGTCGCCCCGGTGGTCTAGTTGGTATCCTCGAAACCTTCTAGAGGTCAGGTCAGGGGTTCGAATCCCGACGTAAGCGAGCTTTTCCTGCAAAGTGAGTTTTTCTCTCGCTTCCGCTCCTGGTCTAGTGGATAGCGCTAGTTCGTGTGTACACAGATGCTGAACTCTTCTCGCATTAAAAATCGAAGGCAAAGTACCGCAGGAAGGGAAGAGAGGCTCTTCTGTGTGACCACGGGTTGGAGTAAACGGCACTCAACTCGTGCTGTGAGCGCTGATTTGAAGTGAAGACAAAAAAAAAAGAAAATAGCTCGATTACTGCTGCTGTGTTTTTGCCACAGCAGTACTATACCAGGTATGGACTAGACGCCGAACGACGTCAGGGTGCTACAAGTACCGCAACGACCTAACTGAATGGGATACTTCCTACCACGGCGAAACATACTACAATGCGGTGCAAACATCCGTTCCTGTGTCGTGCGGCTGCCACATGTGTCGACGATAGATACACGCAGAGCTCTCGCGACGTTGCCGTTACCGCGCAGGAGGACCCCTCGGAGATCTTCCACAGTACATGTTCCTACAACGACAGCAGTACTACTGTGCATAGATGCCGTAGGAGAGTGGAGTTGTGTGTCACGGCATCTTCCACGCCACTCTCCTACCGGTGCTTGCGTCGATTGGAGTCTTCTAGGCCGAAAGACAAGGGTGGGTTGGGTTCCCGGGTTGGTTGTGGAAAGGAAAACTTCGGCGGGCTGCCCCGGCCATATTTCTGATAGTTGGGCTGCATACAACCTTACCTTGCGCTTCAACACAACCGCCCAGTTGCAGAGCGACTCGCCGACATCCGAATGCGCCGGGCCTAGGGCGTTCTTCCGAGTCGCGTACGAATCCACGGCGAGCCGCTCGGCCCTATCGTGGTCCCCCTGCGTAAAACGATGTGGGCATCAGCCTTGAGCTCGACACCCAAACCCAGGTTCACAGAAAAACAGAAATGGAGAGCATGCAGGGAAGCCTTACCTGTTGTGACAGCAGCGACGCCCAGTTTGAGAGTGACCCCGCAACATCTGGATGCCACGGTCCAAGAACCTTCACTCGAATGGCGTGTGATTCAGCGTATAACACTGCTGTGGGGAATATCTGATCAACTTGCCATAAACATACAGGGCATATGACCTCAAGGTTTCAACATATACACAGAAGCCAGGTACGCCAAAGGTTGAGCTGGTGAAAGCTACAGTATTTTGAAATAGAGCAGATCGCGGCGGCTTTGCGTTTCGAGCACACTTGCCGCGGGGGAATGTAACGACGATCCCCCTGAGTGCCCCTCAGCAAGAAGCGTGAGATAATATTCCTGCCGAAAATGATATGCACCCACAGGGACGCATATAAGCCATGCACCCACACCTTGTTTACCGACGGAAATCTTGTCTGAGGAACGAGCGTCACGAGGATGTATGCGTTTTCTTGTTTCTTCAACTTGTCGCTCTACTACAGGCAGGCAGGCGCAGTTTTCTGTCCCTCCAAGCAGCAACTACATGAACCCGGCTAAAACCCTAACGCTAACCCTAACCCTAACCCCAAACCGACCCAATAGGTGCTAGGTTAACATTGGGTGACTCAATTCTAGGTTGTTGTGCCTGCATTAGGGCTAGGTTAGCGCTGCATGGTTCAGTTCTAGGTTGGTGTGCCGGCATTGGGGCTAGGTTGGCGCTGGGTGGCTCAGTTCTAGGTTGGTGTGCCGGCATTTGGCGCTAGGTTGGTGTTGATGGGATAATCTCTAGGTTGGTATTGCATGGATAGGTGCTAGGTTGTTGTTTATGCGATCGACCTAGGTTGGTATGGCTTGCATAGGTGCTAGGTTGGTGTTGACGTGGGTAGATGCTAGGTTGTATGGGCGTATAGGTCGCTCTAGGTTGGGTGGTTCTGTCGGTAAAAAAAGGTGTGGGTGCATGGCTTATGTGCGTGTTATGGTATTTGGAGGTAGACATGTGATCGTGGTTGATCATGGTTATTGGCGCCGTCGGATGCTAAGACATGACGTCATGCTAGATCAGGGCTTTATGCCGAGACATGTGCCCTTCTGTTCAGTGTGTGCGTGCAGGCGATCTATGATGATCGTGTGTGCGTGGGATATTGTGGGTTGGCTTGGAAAGCGTTAATCAAGAGAAAGAGAACAACGGAAAGCAGCAACAACCTGCTACTGTGGTCGGACAAGAGAGTTCCACACAGCTCAAAGGTGATTGATTTTGAAGGAAGAGGGGTCAAACACCACTACATGCGTCCCGATGGGTGTATCGAATATTTGTCATATTCCTGCCGCAAGAGAATTAGAAGATTTGCCGAAGGCACTGCTGTATGTGGAACACCAGCGAACTTTCTAATATTCCCCCGTGACGTCAAATAAAGGCTACCCGCTCGAGAAGATGCCCCGCTAGCAGGGGTGTTCAACATCGGGGTGTTCAGTTTTTTTGTGAGGGTTGACGGACAACTGCTCACAGGCAAACATATAATCATCACCGTTAGTTGAGGAGAATGATGCACTCAAGCCGGCTGGTACAAACGGCACGGGACGATTTCCACATCATCAGCTATAGATGTTTGCGTGCTGCAGTGCTGCAGTGCCCTCGCTGCCTCTATGCACGTTAGACTACTTCAACAGAGTAGTCCTACAATGACTGTACCGTCACTAGAACCTCTCGGCGGAGTTGATCTGCCGGAAAGCGCCCCCCACCCCCCACGTTAGCCGCACACCTCTTTGGCGAGCTCCTGGAAAGCAAAGCGAGGTCCACAACCTTGGTAGGTGAAACAAATATCACCCCAGGCACATCGCGAGCATGTCCGGCGCGTAGTGCGTACAGACGTACAGACACGCAGCGCACAGAGGCACAGAGTTTGCCGAGGGGTCTACGCGGACGAATTTCCGGTTCTCCGGAAGAACCAGTTTCTTTTTTTTTTACGCTCGGGATGATGCCATTCATGCGGAACAAATAGGGTGGGGGCGGGCTTTTTTTTACACGTTTTGGAACGAAGTCTCCCACTCTCCCAGGGTGGATTCGACCCCCAATACTGAATGCAGCGACCACAGAATGCAGCGCACGGATTCTGCCGATGGTCAGGGACAAGGAGATGGTTCAACGCCGACTGCTGTAGTAGCGGCAGGGTGTGATGCCGGCGGTGTGGAGGCTGACTGGGAGAAACTTGAACAAACTGAACAAGGTGGGCAAGTTGAGGTAGGCACTGACTGCTGGTGTGTGATTCTTTTCCGAGCGTCAGGAAAAGCAGCGCGGACGTGAAATACCTGCTGGCGTTTGCGTTGTTGAGCAATTGTTGTTGGGTCTGCCGTATTGCGAATGTGTACGTAGGGTATACTACTGCTGTTTCCATCTGCGTGTACTCTGCTGTAGACGCATGCGCCAAACCAGCAGCAGTTTCGGGCGGTTTCGGCCACGCGGTGGCAGCGTTTCACGCAAGACGGCAGCTTGGGGTAGCTTGCAGCAGCAATGTGTAGCAAGTACCCGCGGTCGGTCTAAGATAGCACTCCACCAGACAGACGAAGCAGACCACTCGGCCTCGGTGCTTGTATGCACGTATTGTGCCGCCCCTGTTCTTTCACGCCGTTTGTTTGCTGGGCAACCTTCGTCAGCTGCAGCAACGCACTTGCGAGTTGCGGCGAGATTACTTCGTCTTCTTCCCCGAAAAGAAGTTCCGGCTGATCTCATGTACTTATTGGGAGGGGCGATAAAAGGCGGTGTGAATAAGGCGGGATACCCGATATAAGGCGGTCGAAATTTGCGCCCACACCTCAGACCCGGTATGTCTGGCCCTGTATAAGGCCGTATCGACCTGTCTGAGGCCGTGATCATCTTCCCATCAGTACAACTCTCTGGGAAGCATCTGAGCGAGTGCACATACAACTCCCGGATCGATACACCACAATTATTACGTGGCACATCTAAACCCGTGTGGCACTCGGACATGAGAATAGATAATATTCTTGTAGACGGATGTAGAAATTTCAAGGCTCCTCGTGGTAACGATTTCTCAGTTTAGTAACGATTGGTACGGGAACCAGCGACCACCGTAATTCGTCTATTTTCTGGATGGTAACTGACCATCACGCACGGTAGTTTGCTTACGGCAACCAACAACCGCGGTAATGAACGGTGATACAGGGGTGATAACTGGCCACCACGGAATTCCCTTACGGGAACCAGCAGCCACCACGGTAATGCACCGTAACATTTGGGTGGTACAGTAACTGGCCACCACGCAATGCAAGGTATCGTTATATGGTAAAACCTCCCAGCGATGCACCGTAATTGTATTGGATGGGAAGGGAGAAGGCCTTTAATTGATCATGGTTTGGGCGGATATCGTAACTGCGAATTATCACTGTAGAACGTTACCAACTACAATTTCCGTGGAGTTCCCACGGGAAAAGTACCGCGGGAAATTTCCCTGAAGGATCCTTGGTAATTATCTTTGAGCCGTTGTCTTACACACAATAGAGCAAAGTTTGTTGCGAAGAGGCGATGGATGTGTTTTCAGAGATACAAGCGCCGGGGAAGTATGTGGTGCTTACCCGTACCCATGGGCCAAGCGCCATGGACGTAGACACATCTGTTTGTTCGGTACACAATAGATTTTTTAAGTTTTGCATGGTGGGTCCATGCTGGCTATTTAGTGTTGCTCTTCACTCAAAAGGTAACAGGGTCGTTGTTCCTCGCATCGGCACATCGGCACCCAAGAGCATGTAGGGCTTGTGTGCTGGCATCAGATGTACATGCCACTTCTGAAAATAAATATTGCGTTCGTTCGCTAACTATTGCAAGTCATCAGGCTCGACATACATGTATGTGGTGCACGTAACGATGCTCTTCCACTCAACACCGCGCCGTGAGGTGATCACCGCTGTAAACCTCTGTATTTTGCCCTGAATAAGGCGGTTTACAACTTCATTCAAGAATAAGGCGGCTACCCAACATAAGGCGGTGATATTCACCACGCACACCATCGCCTTGTATCGGGCCCCCTACTTTGTATCCTTTACGCCCAGACCAAGACGTAGAGCGGAAAGATCCACAGCACTCTCGTAGGACGTGTGGCGGGTCCTACAACCGTTTTGTATGATAACCAGACTGGGGAGTTGGAGTTGAGTGTGCGTCTCAACAGAGAATAGCCTGGTTGAGGCTGCTCTGATTTGCAGTTGTGTCGAGATGGGGAGATGAGCTACGGCCTGTGAGAACCGCGCGGGCCGGGAACACCCGGAACGCCCTACAGCAGTATTGCATACGGTGAGAGGGGCCAAGGGTACGCGCAGAAATAATCCTCGACACACGGAAGACCATAAATCGAAAATCAACGGCAGTCATGGAGATTTTCCCATCTTACCTCGGTTGGACCGCTTTCGGGAACTCTGGGTTGTGCAATTCGCCCCAACTCTGGGTTCGATTGAACCATTTTTCATTTATTTCAAATGTTAGTCCGCTGTTAAGACCCAAGCTTGCTGGAACTTCAGCTACAATAAAAACGAAGCGGTCTTGTCCTCATTTCACCAATCATACCGGGAGCTCTGTGGGTCTTTTGTCCGAGGGTGTACAATTCTGATTTAAACAACCCTTTTACTCTTCCGGTTAGGGCGTGGGTAAACTCTGAGTGCATTGACAAATCGGTTGAAATCTTATCTCAACTTTTCCTTGCTAAGGTACCCCCCCCCCTCTTTTTGGTGGATACACACGCCATCCACTGTTCCCCGAAGACGTTGAACCTTTTTTTATTATTTTTTGTCAGATTTTATCGTCCCGGCCTCCCTGTTCGTCATGTGCAAGACCGTGGTGGAGGACGACGGCGGCGGGCTATTCCTGAACGGGACTCTCGTCCAAAGAGTCTTGGTGAAAAACGTTCCAACTATTTCCTTCTCAGACGGCACCATTGACGCTGCGACCCATTCGAAGCTGGAATCGTTGTTGTTCCCGATCCACCTCAAGGGCCCACTCCCCGGCGGGGACATCAAGCATAGGACGCTTTACATTGATGACCCCCGTGAGCCCAGCGATCAAGAGGCCGAAGCGCCAGGGACAGTTCAGTTATGCGCACAGACACTGGACCTCATCAGTGCTCCACTCGACGTTCGCCAACACTGGAACACGTATGTACGGATTTCATGTGTTACGATAGATCCTATCCCCTAGACTATGTGCCCTAACCCTTTGAACCAATCAGCCTTGTACTGTAGGTAGATGCTGTGCAGGTTGGCCCACACTTGATGCTGTAGGGTAGGCTGGTGTGCGTGGTGAAAATCAGACTGCGCTGCGGCGCGACTTTTCCGGAATGCAGCGACACCACAATACAAGAATGGCGTCCCCAGACTCGTATTCCAATATGAAGAGCATGGAGAGCATGGACTGCACCATTTTCGACAATATTCAAGAACTGCTCGAGCCGTAAGGGTCCTGGTTCTTGTTCCCTGGTGGTGCGTGTGTTGAATTTTAGTCTCAATGTTCTGGCGCCATTTTATACCAGTTGGCATTGTCCAAGAAAAAAGTCACATAGCAGCTATTGTGGCGAATATCTTTCTCTGCCTTAGCTCCTTCGTTGCTTACCCTAGAGTTCATATCTAGAAGCGCTCCGCGGTCGCTTTCATTCGTCGATCGCGAGAACATGTAAACACTCACTAGTTTGTCGTTCTCGAGAAGGACATCCACTTTAGTTAGAGGGACTTACACTGACCGGGCGGCGGAACACTACCATTCCACTGTCCGCAAGGGGCCATCAACTTCCGTACGTAAACATGTTTGGTTACCGGGGCTTCGTGTGGAAACGCGAAAAGATAGCCCAGATACAAAACCAGGAATAACATTGGAAGGGAAGTTAGAGTTCTTGCGTTTTATTTCAGAGCGTTTCACGGAAACTTCTGCAAACTGTGGCACGTCTTTGCCTGTATCTTAATCGTGTTTCGCGTAGTCCGTTCGTCATCAGCACCTACACGAAACCCTGGACAATATTTTTCGTTGCAGTTGATATTGAAAACGATTGTTTGAATGCTTCAGGTCTCGGTCTATTTCACTTTGGCCCTGCGTACGTGGACAGTGGTCCATTTTTCATTAGCATCGACCGCGCAAAAGGCCATCGAGAAGACGTCGTTCACATGGCGGGATAAATACCGCCAAGGTCATAAGGACGTGTTTGTTTTTGTAGATGGTGGGCATGGCAGCCGGCTGACCAACAGTAATGCGTCAACAACCGTAGTCGCTGACGGGGCAAAGAATACGATTTGAAAGGTTGTGGGAATCATCTCATTGACCCTGTTCTGGTTGTCGACAATTCACTCCACGTTTTGCTGCCTACAATGTGTTCTGGGCGCACCAGTTCGCGTCAGAAGAAGAACGAGGTCGAACATTTATTTTATTTCCTTACCATCTGTGGTGCTAACCTTCTGTGACACCGCGAGAACAACGCAAGACTTCTTTCCCGCTCGTCGACGGTTCTATCAAACTTGCAGCCGTACACAATTGTGTTGTTTGGCCATTTGCTTCACTGCGTCGAGATCCTTTCTCAAACATCAGAAGGGTTGGGGTATCCCGCTGAATCGCTGCTGAGGTTTCCAGTTAATAGCAGATGTGAATACAGCGAAAACTCTGTATATCTCCCTAATGGTGAAAAATGACTTCATCGCAATACCCTCTGTCAGCAGCGTTTGGGAGAGCGACCGAAGGCCCTTGGTTACTCTCAGTCCCGTTTAGCAACAGCTTGTTTTTGCGATTCTTCACACTCGATACTTATCCTAGCAGCATGATTGGGGAATTGCGTTTTCATCGGCTGCATCACCTTGTCAACTGGCTGACAAAAGAAAATATTCAGACTGTTTGGGTGAGGTGGGTTGTTTGCATCAGGCCAAACTTTTCGGAACGTCACTCTTCTAGACCTGTCGGTAGATGTGAACCCTACAGCCGGGCAAACCGGAGGCACGCCACCCATTTTGGTCCTTCCTTCGTCGAAATTCTTACCAGTAGTGTTGTTTTCGAAAGGATTCCGCTGCCGTTTGCTCGTGGACCGTGATTCCGAACTACGAATGATCGTACACGTTCTTTACGTATTGCTTTTTTGATGGGCGGACGTGTTTTATTTTCCCCTGGTTGAGACGCTCACAAATTCTGCCTCGAGGAATGACTAGTGATATCCCACAGTGTTCTAGTTCCTCAGAACGCAAGAAAATCGGGTTTTTCTCCAGTGACTTCGATAACAGACATTACAGCCAAGGTGGCGCGATGGGAGAGCCGACACTGTTGTCTTGTTAAAAACATGTTTGCAACCCGGCACCTGCATAAAGTCGTATAATTTTCCGTCGATATCGGCATCGCAAAGGTGTATCATGGCTGCCTTGCCTTCTACCATATTTGTTTGTGGGTGCAGAGAACATTTTTGGTGTTAGGCAATTGTAAGAGGATATACACACGAGGGACAAAGCAAGGAGCAGAGGAGTTCCTCTCTTCCCACAATATTTTCTTTCTATGCATACTCCGAACCACGGTCTGAAGTCAATCCCCCCAAAAACGGTAGATGGTAGATACCGAAAGTGGCCACCGGCGGTAGCACCAGCGTTTTGTTGCTGACATGTTACGCTCGTCCTGTGGAACAAATCATGTTTGCATCACAATACCTCAAAACGCAAGCCTCGCTCTCGTGAAGACTGTAGCGAAGTCCCTTCCCAATTCACAGGAGCTGGTAGTGAGTGTCCCGGTGTTCCATACAGCATGTTCGAAGCATTGCATCGGGACGGGCAACGTGAAAAGATGGAAAATCGAAACACAAACCAAACAGGTTCTCAATACGAATCATCGCTTGGTAGAGTGAAATTGCTGTTCTTAACAAAATCACTGGCATTCTGTTTTGCAAAAGGTATATTTGATAGGGCAAAATGTGGGTGTGGTACGCGAGCAGCAGCAAGGAGCATGGATTGCGGTAATGCAGCTGGTCCTTGAAACTCGCTTGTTCTGCCTCGCTGGCCCTGACGTTGAGTCGCCCCCCCTGCGAGTTATGTAACTGTCCTTCTGATGGCGTTTCACACTACCATGGTTACTATAAGGTCGGCTTCATTTGTTCATCTGTAAGGGTCCGATATTCGAACATGGATATCCTAGTTCAGGCTCCTTCGTAAATAGCGGGTTGCATGGAATAAATCGCTGGAAGAGTATTAGGAGAAACGTTGGCCTCGCGACGTGAGCAAGAGCTACCCTTTGATCCTCTTTTTCTCGCCAACCATGGTTCCTTGTCCTTAGGTTCCCTTGCCGGATCCTGGAAGGAACCATCGAGTTGGAGCTGCAGTCGAGCTTCCGGCATGAAGATTTTGGATCCAAGAAGATCCTATTATGTCCAGACCTCTTGCGCCCGGTGCTCGATGACTTGTCGGGGAAGAAATTGCAGGACCGATTGGAGAACATCATCCGAATCAAGCCCTCAAGTGGCCTCAGCCGGCTGCGTAGGCTGGCTTTCTTGAGAGAAGTACCGGTGGTCGAGGTGTGAGTCTCATCTGGAGCATTGCGATGTGCGGAATGGCGGACCGCTCATTGCAATGAACGTTAAGGGTTTGAGGACCGGACGCTCTATACCGGCTTCGATTGGCGCCGATGATTGTGTGAGAAACAACCCGAGGACACGCATCCCTTGCAGACTACGTCGTGGATGCAAGTCCAAGCCGGATGAACGAGATTCATTCATGTACGCGTTGTCTTTGCGGTTCGTGTTCGCAACACCACGTTGCGTCAGGCGTGAAAAACGTACCCTCCTCATGCCATGCGGCACGTTTCGTCTGCGACAACTGCTGCCTGTCGCCTGCGTGTCCCGTTGCGCCTGCACCTGTACCCCAGCTCTGCTACGAGATTCGGTTGAAGAAAGGAGTGAGACGGGCAGACGATGAGGCTGGTCTTGACAACAATTTGTTGATCAGGTACCCTCAACTGACACTGAGGTTCTGGCTCTACGAGCCAATCAGCAAGGCCGTTTTCAAGATTTTGGGTCCGCTTGCTCTTGTTCTCGCACTGATGCTGGTGAGTTGCATTGGCTCATTCCCGACAAGGGGCAGGTTAGAACAATGAATGCGGCGTGTGCTTTGGTTTTGTGATGGAAACAGGTTGTTCAAGACCAATCAAGCGTGGGGTGGGGTGTCCGTACCCGGCATGTTTGGGAGTACAGTGTGTGCGAAATTCCAGTCTAGTTTTTGGTCGGATCAAACAACGCATCACTCCATCTTGCTTTGCAATTATTGCCTTTCCAACCATCAAATTGTTGACTGAAATTTCGATCCCTCGTTCGAAAAACGGGGGATGGTTGTGAGGGTTCCATCGTGGTGCGGCGCAGGAAGCCCAGAATATCAGATCGCCACACTTCTTGCGCGACCATATCCAGCACACCACAACGCCTGGCAGATTTTCTGCAAGGCGGATTTTCTGCAATGCATATAGCTTTGAAAGTTCGAGGGGTGAAATCTAACGACTTCCCTCAATAAAAACTTCTGTTTGTATTCGAAATCCCAGTTAAATATGGATACCACAAACAATTGCCTGAGAAATACCACCGTGCATGTGCCCTAAGTTTCTAATCGCCGGGAGTGTCCCCTCCTCTCACAGTTGTTCGTCTGATGTGATGATTGCGACCCTGCCCTTTGCCTGAACGCCCGTCGATTTCGCGCAACGCGTACTTAAACAATACCGACAGATGAATTTCCAGGAATTCTTCGGCTTCTCCGCTGCGGTCCAAAGCAACGACTGCTTGGAACAGCCAGCGAGCGACACGTACAGGGACTACCTTGCCAATGGAATCGGCATCGTGCTTGCAGCATTTTTCGCGATCCCATCTATTCGTGAGGGGAACATCAAATCGCCCGGGATCAGGTGAGGCGACGAAAACACACCTTTTTCCTGCTTTGTCCTGTTTTTGCGCTCGCGCGTTGGCCTCCAACCGGTCCTTGTCGTGCGTCTCGGCTGTGCGCGCAGCTTCAAGCGTGACGACTTCATGGCGGTGGCGTTCCTGATTGGACTTGCGCTCTCAAACGCACGCCAGTGCCGGGTGGCTCTGGTTGGCATCCTACTTAGCTGTGTGGTGGTAGTTTGGGCGCTGATCTCGTTCGTATGGTTCATGTTCGAGCTGCGAGGACTGCGGAAGCGCGCTGAGCGGGAGCCTCTTCGTGTGAACAAGGTCACGAAGGACAAGAAAAAAAAGGCCAAGCCCCGGGTGAGTGCTCGCAACCCAGGCAGGGATTTTCGGAGTTGTTGTATCCGGTAGCCATTTCCTCTTTCTTGTCTGCAACAGTGCCTAACTCGAGATTAAGGAACCCATCGGGTGTCCGAATTATGCCACCTGCTGTATGAGGGGGCGTGCGTTCCGACAAATCAAGATTTATTCTGGACAGGCCGAAATTTCGTGCCATGTCTTCCTCGATTCCAAGATATGCAGTGTTTCCACGAAGCCCTCCTGATGGTGCACACATCGGACTCGCTTCTTGTCTCCCGGTTGGAAGACCCGTTGAGTGTGAGGAGAGGAATTGGTCCTGATCGTAGAAACACAGGGAACGTTTTGTTACAAGTAAAATTTCCTCCACGACACAGGTGCAGTTCGCAATTGTCTCCGAATAGCACCCCCTTTGAACCATGCCTTCCTCCACGCGCTGTTTTCTTTCGCAAGGCCGTCGAGTTCGACAAGAAATGGTGGACGCGGCGGAGATGCGAGCCGAAGTGCTCGGAGTGTCTTCCGGCGACCTAGAGCTTATCGTGGAGGCAGCTGTCGGCGAAAACGTGTGAATGGCTTTCCCGGCATCGGGGAATGGAAACATATGCTCCCGTGAAGTGTCGTGTTTGTATACTTTCGAGTTTCCGGGGGGTCGCAAGTTTACAGTGAGTGTTGAGACGCCATCGATGAATCCTTGGAGAGAAGAAAAGTCGGTTGAAGTGGGTGTGATATCGTGGCAGTAGGGTTTCGACGCCATGCTGCGTAGCGACCCTATAAATGAGTGAGGAGTTTTCTCTGTTTGATATAATATGTTTCGTTTTTCAAGGGTTCTACATATGATTGCAGGGTTGGGTTAAATGTTGTTCCTGACATCAGACGATTTTCTTCCAACCGAAAAGCCGAAAGCCGAAACCCTGGCGCTCTCGTATTATACAGATGCTGTAAGTGATATGTCAACTGCTTGATACTCGAAGACTAGGTTGATTTATGCCAAGGCTTGAAAGGTGTATGTCCTTGTTTTTCCCCATTTCCTATGGTAGATTGCGCAGGCTATCTCTCGGTCGGACGCATTCAACTGAAGAGCGCCGGTCCGATCGTTTGTGATTATGAGCGTTTTTTGGTGGTAACGCCGGCGAAAGATTCCGAGATTCTTCTTCGACTGAGGACGATTGTTCGAGTGGCCCAATACTTTGTTTTTCCACGGCGGAACCGTAGACGTTCGACACGAATTAAGTATTGTAGTGAGTAGAGACCCCGCAATAGCAGCAGCAGCGGGAGCAACAGATAGATAGGCAGAAGCATGATCAAACTCATCAACCTTTGATTTGGTCCGTGTGCAAAGATGACCGCCGAATGCCTTGCTGATTGCGACCAGCACATCGAAAGATGACGAGCAGCAGTATTGGATCTTTGCGAGAAAACTCGGTCAGCGGACGACCCCGCCAGTTTTGATTAAGAGATCGGGCGAGCTTGTATGTACGTAACGATGTCAGATGGCGAGGGGAAACACAAGAACATAGCCCAGACCCTTCGAAAAGCGATTTTCATGATCCTTTGCCACCATGGTACCTCGCCTGATCAATCTCAGGCGACTCCCCGATGTGCCCGCAGAAGTTGATAAATACCGCTTCTTCCACCCCCCCTGCCGCAGCCGGCATCGACGGCGCTTGGTAGACGGGTTTACGGGTGTTGAACTGATGCTATCACAAACCCGCAATAGGTGAAGAACTTGCAGTGTGGCTCACACTATTGGCAAGGTACTTGAAAGCGAGCGAGACGAGTGAGAGAGAGAGCACAGGATACACTTGCTCACGACGGATGACTGAATGCATGGTTCTGATCCGGGAATTCTTGTAGGGTTGAGGTAGGTGAAGCTTGTCTAGGGCTGCACCTTGTCATGGGTTCGGCGAGAAGGTAACCAACACGCCTTCGACCAGTTGCAAGGCCACCACGCCCATCCATGTCTTGCCGCCGGTCGATAGGTACGATGGGTTGTAGCCACGACTTCCGGTAAAGAGGCCTGAAGGATGTCATCTGCAGCGGGCGTCATCAGACATGTCAATACTAATGACTCCTGACAAGTGGATGGAGGAACGCGATAGCTCCGTCGTGTTTCGCCCTGCCAGACTTCTCAGCCTGGCTTGCGTCGGCGATTGGTACTTCGATCCCTCCTAGCAGAAGAAATCACGACGTGCACTACTTTTCCTGGCATTGGAGCGCACCGTCGCTGGACGCCGGCTGGAAACCGACCCCGCCTCACATCGTGAAACCTCCGAGGTGGGGACGGCTGGGTCTCCAAGAACAGGGGTGCGATAAGTTACGAAGGTTTCACCATCCCTGCGGAAGCGTAGTGTGACAGTCATTCCCACCCCCCCAGGCGCACCCTTCGTCGCCTTGCCCGCCGGCTACATAGGATACGCCGATCGCTTCATAACCTGGGCGGTCGTCGCGTAGAGGGCTTCTCTCATGAGCTCTTCGAACCTGACCTCCCCGTCCCAGCTGACCACACAGAGGGTCGTGTGAGCAAGACCCGGTTGAGACGTAGTCTGGCGAAAAGACGAAAGCAACGCTACGCTAGCAGAAGGCGAGTACCATTTGCGAGCAACAGGCAAGGGCGTGTTCAGGGTGCACTACGTCGATACTGACGAAAACAAGTGTTGTGTCGGCGTTGCCCTCGACGATAGAAACTGCTTAGGGGAGGGGCATGACGTATACAGCGGCGGCGGCGAAACGGCTGGAGGTGCCTTAGCGTCGCCGCCGGAAGAAGTTTCGTCACGGGTCACACATCGCAACAGAGAGAACGATGGAACTGGCAAGATACAAGTGAAGGCTAGGCGCCAGCACCGGAGTCAGCGAGTGACATTTGAGGGCGGGGGCGGCGTGTATAACCGATGGTGTTTGGCATGCTCATCGCCGAGTACGAGGCTGCGAGTTGACCGCTAGGTCCATGATAACCTCAGCGGTGAACGACAGATTCCCCGTGAGGGGGGGTTGGGCGGGAGCCATGCGTCATGCTCAATTCCCCCGCGGGCCAACATCTTGTAGGAGGCACTCTGTTTGACACCGTTGATGACCTTTTCTCTCCCGCCTTCTACCCCCCGAATGGTAGCCTTTGATTCACTCCCTCCGTTCCCACCATCGTCTGCGCCAACCTCCAGAATGGGCCACAGCATATTGTGGAACGATTTGTGATTAATTCTGTCGCACGGTGCCCTCTCAGAGAGAAATGTTCAGTGTGATCAGCTCGGCGGCGATACGGCCACGGTCCTTCCGAGTTCTACGAACGGTTGTCAGGTATGATAACCATCGCCGCTGAAAAGTTGCGACAATGCGCTGAGCGGGAGCCTCGGTAGGACCACGGTGCGAACGTCGGTGGAGGAGCCGGGGCCGCTCGTCAACGCCGATTTCATGCTCGACAATGTACTATTTACATGGTGAGGATACAGATAATGGGTGCGGGGATACGGTGGCGCGCATCGGTCACATCGCATCGGAAGGCTTCTTCCCGCGTCTTATCACACCATGGCACACCCTTTGTCTCATCACAACATGGGATACTCTTGTTTGCAGCCGTTTTTCGGGCGCTCCTCCAATCGCGTTGATTAATTGCGGGTGTTTCGTAGTTCCTTCCGATCACTTCCTGAGTCCTTGGCTGTAGCATGCCCTCAGCGAAGCGAAGTTAGTTATTGTTCGTTCCTTGCGAATCTCGTGTACCTCGGTGACTCTTGCAACACAACTGTTCCGGCCACGTTTGGATGACCAGAGAACAATGAGTGGCGTCGTACGAGGTAGCCCACGTCGCCATGCTCGTGTCGTGTATGTTGGGCAGTTGTTACCGCCGAAGAAGTCCTACCTTCGGGGGACGATACGTCAACAGCGTCTTGGTGTGCCATGAGAATATCGCCTCAAGAAACGAAACTACAACAGATCCGTGGCGGCTTTGCTCACCACTGTCCTCTACTGTAGTACACAAGACAGCGTATCGTGGGCCTTTCACGAGCAGGTCGTTGAGAGTCGGCCGGCGTCCTCATGGTAGGCCTCCGGCTATGTTTGATCAAGTGCGACACCAGTGACGACATGCTTAGGACTCACCCAATTGTTGACAATATTACCCACGTCACCCGAACCCCCGTGGCAGTATTTTCCCACCTCTCTTGATAGTGGGGCATCCGACGCCTCCTCCATCAAATGGGGGGACAGGTCAGGTAAACGGTCATGAGACCTTTCCTACAGCACGTAGAGGTCGATGTTTTGTCGGGTGAACGGTTGTCAAGGGTTTTTTTTTACGGAAATGCTCGCCCTGTTCTACCTCCTTCGACAGTTGTGTACGGTTCCCTGAAGCCGTGTGTACTGCGAATCGTCGTTGACAACAAATCAGTGGCAGGGAGGTTCACCCACGGCTGAGCACGCGATCGTGGGTGCACCCGTTGCTGTTTCAGCACTCCGACTCGCGCACGAGTGTACTCTCCAGCCTTTGTGGCGGATGTTAACCTCTCGTTTGTGCTATGGCCACTGACGTTACGTCTGCCTCAATCCAGGGAGTCGATAAGCACATTCATTTTGGGGGGAGGTTGAGGCGAGCAGTGGGTGTTTGAGCAGATGCAGAATGAAGGAAAAGCTAAACCTTGCGCACGGTCACCGAGTACATCTCCGCGGCCCAGCGTATCGGTTGATACAAAAGAATGGGCAATTTTCGCGATATTGTCGGCGGAAGGTGGCCGAGGTGGGTGTCGTGTTGTGTGCGCGACGGCCACCCCGCAACTAGTTACTGCCATGGTACCCCACTACTAACCCCTCTTTCATTTTGAGTAAGGGACTTGTTCGGGCAGTCTCTCGCGGAAACCGCTGTGGATAACGGCATGCGAGATGAATTTGAAAGAGAAGAAGCGTTGGAAAGCGCTACATTGGGGTTTTCAGCATGCGCCGCAGACACCGGAATAGTTTGGCCGTGGGAGCGGCCCCCAACAAACTTGAAATTTTGTATTAATGATCCGCACCGAGAAGAGAATATACACGTGGGATCGTTAACTGCGGACGATTGATCAGTCTTGACATGCACGTCCTACTTCTTTTCATGTGTGATGATCTTCAGATAGCGTATGGCTCGTCTGTCGTCCGTACGTGGATGCCTACCGCGGCAAGTATTGCCGCCGATGCCATCTCGCGTTCCTCTCGGGGACAACATCTTCCGGTTTGGACTGGCCGTGTTCAGAACAATACGATTATTTACAATTGCATGTGCTATTGACGAAACTCCACGTTCACGGCCCTAGGGAACTTCACACAGAGGAAAAAAACGAAGGATCCAATTGACAATATCCCTGCATGTGGGGCCGCGATGGGCATGGTCCCCATCTAGCGCCTCGAAAAACAAAAAAGTACAAGAAAATCGGATCAGACTGTCCCACGAACATGAAAATGGGCACCCCTTCCCTGGAAAATGAGAAAACAGCAGAAACAAGAAAGGTCGCAGACACACCATACCTCCACCTATAGCGAACATGAACCACCGTCAAACATTCAACACAAAAATATCGATGCACAAGTGTCGCCTCTTGGCGGTTTGCATGTAACCCCTGTTTGCTGCAGCTTCGACGGGACGCCACCCCCCAATGTGCCCCGGCCGCCTGACTCGACACACCGAACCCCGACCCACCCACCCCCGCCCACCCGAGAACATGCACCACAGGTTCTGCGTGATGCGTTCTGCGTGATTGACGAGCATGGTCACAAACTACCAGTTGCCGTTGTCCTCGGCCTATTGCGGCACCAAGGCGGCAAGTCTCGCGCGAAGCCTGGCTGATTTCGACAGCGAGGGTCTACGATCGGGCCAAGACGAACGGCGATGCAAGACGTCGAGCCTCCCCTCCTCCACTCTAGCCTCCCCCCGGCCTTGGTATTCCTACTCTACCCTTCTCTCGGCTTTTCATTCCCGGGCCTCACGTCAACAACCGTGTCACCCAACAGGAACGCACGTAATCAATTCATATTTTAAAGCTCTACACGGAGAAGCAAGGACTTTCGACATGCAAGCCATGAGATCTGCGGAAATAGACTGGCCAGCAGCGAGATCCTTCCCGGAATATGACATTTTGTAGGCAACTTCAACCATGGAACGGGCTCAAATGGCGCCACGCAAGCATCTGAGAACAATAACAACCATGCGGCTGACCCGATAGTCCTGCACCCACCCCCCACTATACATGATGCTTTACTCTTTGTAAGGCTCACACCAACGTGTGAGTGACGTTGTACATGTAGGGTCCTCCATTAGGAACAACACCCTGCCAAAGATAAACGCCGAACATCACCATGGTGCTTACACTTCCACGGCCCGATCCAAGAATGGACTTGGGCCTTGGCGTACTGTGGGTGAGATCAACTGAGGATGAGGTTGCACTCCTCGACCAAGCATTTCTTTCAAGGGGTGGCAGACAACTGTTTCTCCCAGTCGACAAGGCGGTCCGCGCCGTGGACCCGATTGACGTTGAACCAGCGTACGCGAGCGCCCCACCTGGTGCATGTCATCATTGTGTCCGCGGGCCAAGTCAATCAGTGCGAACGCATATTGAACGACAAATACAGTTGGCGATGCAGGGATTGGAAAAAAAATTGGGCTATATTCGATTGCAAGGCCCATATTTGTTGATGTTTTTGGATTGCATGGGCATCTGTTCACATTGTTCATTGTATGTATCCCCTTTCCGGGGGGTAAAGAACTAGTGGTCACGGATGGCATCCGCATCAGTTGAAGCAAGACGGATGTTAGAATGTACTGAGCAGAGACCGCAACGGATTATTACTCGAAGAAACAACAACAACATCGACAACTTGCATTGCGGCATTTTCGCGTAGGATTGGTTGTACCTCGGCAATTGGTACACGGCATGCTTCAGCGTGCAGAATAGTATCATTCAAACCATCGTCACACAAGTTCCGTTCTCCTATTGGAACCGTCACCATGAAGACAAGGCTTTTAGCAAACAGAGTTTGAACGATGTACAAGTAGTAGATTATTGCTGTTCGGATGAACAGATACACCACGTACAAGCACTGAAGTTGTTCGCGGCATGTGGTCATGCCCCACGATGGAGAAATACAGTGTTCTACCGTGGGGAAAACGTCGCCAACTTGGAAAGGCCAACCGAAATGTGGCCCTTGAAATTTTGACATGCCAGTATCTGAATGTCGAAGAAGGGCGAGCATCGAGTGTTGCAGCATGGAGGGTAAGGGTAAAGAGAATAGCTGCCCGTCCACGCCACGGACAAGATCATTGGTTGGTTCTGTTGACTTCCCGCCAATACCGCTCATTTGCTGTTCTCATGTTTAGGAGTTGCGACGTCCGATCGTTTCTGGGTTGTTCCCGTTCAGTGTAGAGTCGGACAATGTGGAAATCAAGATTTTGGGTTGGCCACTTTGTCAGTTTGTGGCCATGCTGTCCGGATGTATTCTGAGCACGGTCCGACGAGGTATTATAAACGCCATCTTCAGCTTCTATGCGGGCTACCTGGAATATCGCGCTTGATCCATGTCTTGTCCCAGGTCACTGAAGGCATTCCTGGCGTCGTAACCGGGCAGGTGTTCAAGAGCTGCGAGCATCTTGCCAATGACGGCCACCGTCTTGCGCAGCTGCTCCACCGTTTTCAGGGATTCCGGGGTGGAGTTCCAAACATCGAGTTGGTCCCGCACGGGCATGATGTGCACGTCGACCTGATTGGGAGGTTGCCGGGTCGGGTTTTGACCTAGAATAGTCGCCGAGGACGAGATAGGGGTTGGGTACAAACAGCAAGTGATGGTGCGAACTCAAATTAAATACTTTTTTGCACTGCACGATTGAACCCTGAAAACGAGTGACACTCTCAGGAGACGAAACGAGTTTAGAATTGGGGCTGCGCTCACAAAAAATGTTCGCAATATTGTACCGGGGTATGTACTGAAAACAACATCGACAGCATGGGGGAGCTGGAGTAACTCGTGTTACGCCTGGCGGGATGTTTTACAGAAAGTTATACACATTCGCCACTGTTTTTATTTTTCTACCACACAACTAATCCATCTCTATCCACAGAAAAAAATAGTCTGAGAAGAGTAGCAAGTAATTCATAACGTCGGCGCAGCTACCTAGACAATATTTCCACGGTTTCCCTACATATTTAGCAGCATACAGCAATATCTCCCCTGTGGGTAACAGGCAACAAGACCGTTTGGTAGCCGCCATGTGTATATTTTCTTGTGTGTTATGCTGGGAACGTGTAGAAGGAAGGTATTGGGATGGTTTTCTTTCACGTGTGCTATTTTGGCACGGTTGTGTAATTCATTCGCTACATACATGGTTATTCTCTTTGTGCCGTTCTCTGTGTACGTAGTAACTGACCGCGAACGATGTGGCGGGGAAATCAAACGAAAAAACAATACAAATACCTGGTGTGGCGACGAGCTCTGCCTGATGCCGGTCCAAGGACAACGTATAGCTGATGTTGCACCTCACCCCGTCCACTTCCATGGCGGGAAACACCACAACGCACAAGTCTCCTTCCGAAGTGCCCATGGCGTCTACAGATGACGAATGACGTTTGGGGTCGAAAGGCTGCACCCCGGCGGCGGTGGGTTGTTGTACGGTCAAACTCCACGGTTTTTTCTTCACTACTTCCAGGAACATCCCGCAGTCAGTGCTGAAGGTTGCCGGAGTTGGTTGAAGGCGCACGTGGACCATTATCTCCCGGTATTTGTGCACTAACGCATCTAGACCGGTCTCATTGATGACCCAATTAAGCCCATTGTCTGCGAAAGTGCGTTGAGTACGAAGGTGCCCACCAATGTTGCCGAGAATATGCTGGACGGTGCGGTCGCGTTTCTCGCTCGGCGTCAGGAGAAAGAGTTCCTGGTAGTTGTTCGACAGGTGGTCGCGAAGTAGGGCGGGATCTGTCTTCGAACCGTTGGGAAACAAGATGGGCTCGATGAACTGGCGGTAATGTTCCTGGACGTCGTTGAAGCATTCCAGAAACAACCGCGGCAGCAGCAGCTGGGGGATGCCGGCGGTCTTCGGAAACTGGTTGAACTTGTCGATGAAGGCATACAGCGTGTTGGTCATCGTGTCGTCGATTCTGTCTTTCAGGTCGCCCAAAGGGAGGATGGGCTGCCCAAAGTTGTGGGCGCCATGGCCTGGTTTGTTGAGCTTATCCGTGTCCACGGCCACGCGCTCCTTCTCGACCGCATCTTGTAACTCTTGTATTACATCCGTTAGCTTGCCGAACGTGTGCGCTACCTGTGCCTGAGCCACAGCGATGGGACTTGCCGAGGCCTTCAGGTCCTTGACTGCTTCTTTTCCCTTTGAGGGTGGTGAGTTCTTTGGGGCCATGGTATCGCCGTGCGTAGTTCTGGTGGCGTGGCGGAAGAGGGAAGTGTAGGCGGGAGGACGGTCGTTCACAGCAGTTACAGCACTCATCAGCACGGTACGAAGAACAGATTCTTCCCCCCGCGCTTTGGAACGTTCAGATGCCCTTTGGAACGTTCTTTTGGGGCGCGGGGAGGGGCGGGAAAAGCGGCGGAATTCCGTGGCGTTCCGCAGATCGGAGCTTCACGTCTAGAACGGAGGGCCGCCCTGTCCTGGTCGCCCTGGCAAGAAAGCTTGGCAGCTGGTTCCTCCCCCCCCACAGCACACAGAACGCATCAATCCCCATCTGCAACAAGTTGGTGACCTACAGCACTCCTATTTTTCTTCTTCTTCGAGGGGTCTCCGCATTTCGACACGAACTGGTAAGTTCCCCCACGCCGGCGGCGGTTTCATACTGACTGACTGCCGTGTTGACATACACGTGCAACTGATGGCTTGGCGCGTGTGACTGCCGCGCTGCCTCTCCCGTGCGCACTTCGCGTGGTGTGGTGCTTGCATAGAGAGGTGCGTGGTCCGTGTGTGTGTGTGCTCCCGCTTCTTTTGGGGGCAGAACTGTGTTTGTTTGCTTGCCGCACGGCCTGTACAGTACTCCAGCATACGCCGGATATGCCAACGTGCTGGTTGTCAAAGTCAAACAGCACTGAAAAACGACATCTCCGTATCACACAAACTAGCTAGCCACACGCTGCAGGACAGAACAAGCAGCAGCTGAAGATGAGTGCAGGAGTATCCTGTAGTGGAAATAAATAGCGCGGCGAGCCTACCGTACACCACACAAGATATCACACCCCCTGGACCGATTTTCAAAGCTCGATTTCTCAACGGCAGAAAGAGTCGCAGCGCCGAAAACGGCGGCGTTGCCTTCTCCTCGTCGAGATTTTTCCGAAAATGTATCTTTTCGTTTATGCGTCCTCTTCGTCGTGGTGCAATCGAGCTTTGAAAATCGGCCAGGGCGTGTGTTGTTTTGTGTCGTAGACTACGTGAGCCTTTGCCAATACTGCACTATTTTACTTTTTTGGCATCGACGTGCTACACGTATGTCGCGTTGTGGTCTTCTATGGCAAAATTTTCTGCACACTGCGTTCTTGTCCTCGGGTGTGTGTGCGCCAAAAACTATTACAGCAGGGTGAGCTGGCTAAATATTTACATACCGGTATGTTTACACATGGTAAAGGTAGAGAAACGCCGAGCTCCGTGAGACGCATCTTCTTGCAGTTTTCAGATGAAAGTCTACAGAATCTTCCAGCGAATGTACGACCACCACCCAAGAACTGAAGACCATCATCTTCTGGATACTCCGACAGCGTGAAAATCGGCATCTTGCAACTATTGTTTTGTTTTCAGGCGTGTACAAGGACACGACCGCGCTAACCGACAACGTCAGTGTCAAGGTCCCTGATAGTGAGTCCCAACTCCCAACCAATGCAATACCTGAATAAAGGGGTTTTCCACGGCGGCGGTTGGTCGGGAGGTCTTTCCACGCAGCAACAGAGCATGAATTCGCTACAAAACTCAGACATATCTTTCGTCTTGCACCACGCCCTCGACTCCACAGCAGACTAGCTACTACCCACCTCGGGGGAGCAGCCGCATGGTAATCTCGGTTGCGGCGCGAACTCTGCACGCACCCACTTTACACAAAGCGTTTTTTCCCCCCTGAGATACTGCTCGGCAAGCTCTTCCTTCCTCATTTGCCGCCGTAAGTAAGAAAGTCCCGCGCGCGCAAGCTAGAGATAGACTCATTCATGCTTGATATCGATCACTCTTTGCAATACTTGCATGTCTTTTAGAGTTGAAGGTATTTAATAGACTTCGTACAAGTTGTACTTTATTTTCCCCGAATCCTGCCCCTTTTCTCCGCCGATCCTAATATATCCTTGAAACTCGAGAAAAAGTAAGCCTGCAAATTCCGAACCTCATCTATCGTCAGCCACGTGTGTCGGCCACACAGCACGCACGCATGGGCGCTGTAGCTAGAAACTGAAGACCAACACAGAGGGAACAACACAATCGCGATAAAATACATTTACCCCCTGGTTCACATTCTACCAGTTTCGCAAGCGCGGTGATCAGCTCAAACATTTCCGCAATTTGAACCTGTGCTTTGCGGGAAAAGACGATGTCGACCATCGACACACCGCGCTTTTCACTATTCGAGCCCCAGCACGCCTCCCGAGCGCCCTTGTTCTCCTGACGACTTCGTTGATTCTCAATCCCCCCCCCCCTCCCCGTGGTGCGCGTGGCGTAGGTGTGTGCTCCGATGGCTCCTAGGATCGTTGTGGCCGTCGATTTCGGGACAACCCGAAGCGCCTGGGCATACAAGGTTGGTGACGACGAGCCCGACGACAAGACCGACGACAAGATCTTCGTCCGGATTCCTGGAGGCGTAGGCCCCGCACCGTCCGCCAGGACCAAAACCGAAACAGCGGCCCTAATCAACAGGCGCGGCAGAGGGGAACTGGTGGCCTTCGGACAAGCGGCGCTCGAGCGGCACGCCGAGAACACAGCGACAGCCGGAGGCGACCCCTCCGACGCCAGCGAGGCTTTGTTCAAGTGGTACAAGACCACCCTGTTCAAGCCCAAGCCGGGCGAAAACACGGTCGAGCGCGTCACGGCCACGTCTACGTCGGGTGACGTCGTGCCGTTGCTTGGGGTCATGACAGCCACCCTCCGCTACTTCAAGAAGGACGCCGTCGGGTTCTTGTCTTCGCTTACCGGAAGGACGATTCGCGCGCGGGATGTGAACTGGGTGCTGACGGTGCCCGCCGTCTACGACGACTTCGCCAAGCACTTCATGCGTCAGGCCGCCCACGAGGCAGGGATGATCGACAAGGTCGGCAGCACAAACCTGCGCCTGTGCCTGGAGCCGGAGGCGGCGTGCCTGGCGGTCATCCCGCGAGGCGCAAACAACCCTCTGACTTGCGAAGCGGAGGGCAAGAAGATGATGATCGTCGACTGCGGGGGGGGGACCGTGGACATTACGACGCACAACATCGTGACCATTGATCCCCTGAACGTGGTCGAGGTGGCGGCACCCACCGGAGGCGCGTGGGGATCGACGCAAGTGGACGAGGCGTTCAAGAAGTGGCTGCAGAGGTTCCTCGGAGATTGGTACGACAAGATCGCCAAGACCGAAATACTCCTGTCCATCATGGAGTTCTGGGAGCGCAAGAAGGCCGCGTTCGATGGTCATGAATCGGCGGAGCCTGTTCGGTTGAACCTGTCGGCTCTCGGCCAGCGACAAATGATGGACTCCCACGACCTGGAGGTACGGCGCGTTGTAGAAGAGTATTCCGTCTGAAAATAGTTGTCGCAACGGTATTGAAAACAAATGGTTCCCTAAACGTTTTGGTGATGTTGGCGCCGATATACGAATGCATCAACTTCGGTTAATTATCGTACAGCTGTTGGGTAAACGCGAGAAAAGGGTTGGAGTCAGACGGGAGTCGATGTGGGGAGGTACGCCGGACGCACTGCCGTACCATTTTTTTATGACTCCCAGAGGGTGCACGCAGTTGTAAACAAAAGCCACTCCCCGTCTTTTGTGACCGCTTCTTCCCCGTACCATCTCGCAGGACCTGCGTACCCGGTACAACCGCGGAGAATCCCGGCGGAATCGCGTCGAAGGGAAAGGCTACATGGTCATCCTGCCGACGACGCTGGTGACTTCGTTCTTCACCCCCACGCTAGACAGCATCGCCCGCTGCCTTCGGGGCATCAAGGGGGGATCGGCGCTGCGCAACCTCCACCGAGTCTTCGTCGTGGGCGGGTTCTCGCGCTGCCCCCTCCTGATGCAGGTGGTGCGGGCTGAGCTCCAGAACGCGTCCTGCCGCGTCGTCGAGGTGAGCGAGCCGGACATCGCCATCGTGAGGGGCGCCGTGAAGTACTTCGACGAGTCCGCGGTGTTCAACTCGCGCAGGGCGAGGCTGACCTACGGCGCCAGCGTGCTGCACGCTTTCGATGAGAAGAACGCCGAGCACCGGAGGCGCCGCGATGCCGGGGAGACGCTCAAGTACGATGACCGCGACGAGGTCATGGTCGACGGCTGTTTCTTCCCTCACATCAGGATTGGAGAAAACGTCCCCACCAACGGCGTCACGTCGCGGGAAAACTACACGCCCGTCTCGCTGGAGAACGAGACCAACTGCATCCAGGTCTACGCTAGCTCCGCCAGGGACCCGGCCTTTGTGGACGAGGACAGCTGCTTCATGCTCGGAAAAATCAGTTTCCCCCTGGACATGACCAAGAAAACCCGCCAGGAGCGCGCCTATCGCGTAGAGTTCACTTTCGGAGGGCCGGAGCTGACAGTCAAGATCCTGCACCGTACGGAAGAGAAGCAGATTGCGGATGCAGTGATGACACTGTCGCGGGTGCCGAAGTCGTATGATGGCATAAGCGGGGGTCTTTGGCAGTCGTGAGCTGGTTCGCTGCGTCCGCCTTACACCAGAACCTAACGCACCTCTCGCCAGGACCTCGTTTTGGTGTATTCTCACCGAGTTTCATCTTTCCCGAGGGAAAAGGGTTGTTTCTGCGTTATTTTGTTTCGTTGGATTTGCATTTCTTGCCGTCGTTATGTCCTTGCTCTCTTGCACGTGGTCCTTGACTCCCTGGTTTCCTTGTCACCTGGCTCCGTCGCGTTCTTGCTCGTATATGCTCCCCGTCCTTGTTGGTTCCTTGGGACGTATCTAGCTTCCTCGTAATTTAGCTCCTTGTACTTTGTACCGTGGTCTTCTTGCGGTCTTGTGTTCGTTATTGTGATGTGTTCCCCCTTGCATTGTTTCGCTCTTTGGGTTATTTTCTACCAAACTTCTTGTGCCCTTGCTTCTTGCTTTAGGTACAAGTTCCTCTTCCTTAGTCCGATCCTCTTGTTGGTGTTCTCTTGTGTGTCGTTATTCCCTTATCCGTTCTTCAGACGGCTATTTTCTTGGGTAAAAACCGGCGTTCCTTCTGGCGAGAGGTACAGTCTATCACTGGATGGAGAATGAATGGTTGAAGTCAAAGTAGGCACAAGCCCCCATCGCTGGGCGTTACATTCGTGCCGTATACATAGGACTTCATTAGATCAGCCCATTTCGAAGGTTCCACAGGGAAAAACCGACTAATGTACTACGCGTATTCAACGTTACGTACGTACACAACCCGAGAGTAGGCACGAGGGTGTGGTCTTTCTGTCACACCCTGCTTGGAACGCTCTTTTTTCTAGAAAAAGTTGGCCGCTTCTCTCACTTGTCTCGAAACAATGGGGCTTATTTATAGGTAGGCGGTAGAAATGTACTTCCCACAGTCGACATCGTTACTAACTTAGCCGCCGAACCCCGCCAAGTTGGGAACCAATCGGCATCCACGGGAAACTCATGTTTCTGAAACTTTCAACATGTCAACTTTCAGCACTCTACTGCATCTCTCTCTCTCTCTATCTATCTATCTATCTCTCTCTCTCTCTCTCTCTCTCTCTCTCTCTCTCTCTCTATACTGCAGGTCTTGTTTTTTGTATGCCACCGGATACATACGTACTGAAGCCAAACCATATTATCCTCCGCGACCCCGTGCCCATGCCGGTGGTCCCCTACCGTCCGGAGAGAAAAACCTGTCGTACGGAACCCGCAAGACCTTATCGTAATTTTGTCGAGGTTTACAAAGCTCCCTGAGCGAGTTTGCGTGGGCAATTCAAAATTCAATGTTTGACCATCAATCTCGTTTTCGAGGTTGGGCGTATGATAGCCCTGGGATTGTTTGTTTCTGCCACGGTTTTGACGACCTCGGGGCTTCGGACCCTGCATTGTCTCTCCAGGCTGCCGTGGTTCAAATCACCATCTATCTTTCCTTGGTGATTTTCCTCTGGCGCCAGATGCGCAATGCTCTAATAATACATACAGTGGTCTGCGTGTGTTGCCTCTGGTCCTCGTCTTCTCGCCACGATCGCTGGCTGCTCGAAAAAAAAGGTACAGCTTACAACTGAAGCAAGGAAGGCCCGACGACAACTAAATAAGAGGTGTGGTGTATGGTCTCGTTGTAGTTTTGCACCCCTCCCGCCGAGTTTGTGCCGTGGGGTGTTCCCCCGCGCAATTCTCAAAGGGGCTCGCTGGCAGCAGCCCCATCTCCATATCTCCACACAACTGCAAACCAGCGCAAACCTTACCTCAGACTATCCGTTATTATTGTGCCGCACACTCAACTCTAACTCTACAACTCTAGGTCTGGTTTCGCTGCAAAGCGGCAAGGACCCGCCACACGTTACTCCAAGAATTCTGTGGCCGATCTGTTACTTTTGTCTGGGTAACGTGTAAAGTCTGCGCGCACAGATTCCGTTTTTAGAGCCGAATAAAACAGCCCGCCGCCCGTTCCTCGCGTTCGTGGAAGTTTCTGCGGACAAATCCGCCAATTTACAAGATGAATTAGCAGAAATTTCCACGCATGTAACGTTCCAAAGACCGTTGCGAAGAGGTACAAGCAGTAGGTCTCACCAGGCCGAGAGATCTCCCCCGCCCCCCGGTTGTTCACTCTCCACCTCCAGCGTGAAAGCCGCGGCAAGAGAACTACATGCAACTGCATTGAAGCGGTGAGGGTAGGAAATGCATGGGTGTACTTCGCGTTGGGCGCTCGCTGCGAGGTTGGTGACGCTCTGCCGTCTGAGGTAGCAACCTCATCACCTGCTGTGCTCCCATGTTCGTATCGAATGCTGCCGCTGTGTGCGTGTATTTTTTATCATCACCGACCGCTCTAACCCGCTGTGCGCGTGTTCGTCTTAGCCATACCTTTGGTGGCGAACGTATTATCTGTTGTTGGGGTCCTCTTCCTCGTGGAGTAACCGCGCTTTGAAAATCGGTCCGTCCAGGGGTGTGGTAAGTTACGCAACCTCGCGGCATGATTTCGGCGTGTTGGTCCATGATGGCTATATAGCAGTATAGCCCTTCTTCTCGAGTTCAGCATAACCCCGTGGACCCACGGATACAGCATTACTGTAGTTTTGGACAGAACCAAACCATGATAGCTTTATTGTGGTGAAAAAGAAGTACACTCTCTGCGATGAGCAACACCATCAATGGTGCCAACAAAACAAATACCGTCGGTGACGCAAGATACCACACCTCCTTGCCCGGTTTGTCGTATTCTTCACGACAAAGGAAATGCATAAATAAAACGATATGTTTTCGGAAAGCTCTCGACAAGACGGCTTCAACACCACCGTTTTTGGCGCATCTACTCTTCTGCTGCGGAGAAAATCGAGGTTTTGATAATCGGCCCAGGGGGTGTGATATCTTTCGTCACCTACGGCGCTAGAAGCGGCCCGGAGAATCTCGTGATTGTACGCCTATATTGTTTCTATCTCTATCATCACGTGCTTCTACATCAGCAGCAGATAAGTGTATTACAGTAGTGGGCCCTCTATAGTGCCGGGTAGTGTCCAGAGAAAAAAGCGGCACTATACCGGGCACCGGCAGTATTCAGAATAATAGTGCCTCAGTAGTGCCGGTACGGCACTATTGAGGCTTCGAATATCCCTCAGTAGTGCCGGACCGGCACTACTGAGTAGGTGTTGATTTCATGGTGCAGCGCTCGAGCTTTGCGGGGCCAACAGAGTACGATGTGGATCGTGGATCGAATATGTGTATTATTAGTGGACGTCTAAGTTCTCGTTGCCCTCCTTCGATGTTGCCAGATAAAAAAAGACAACAGAGAACCACGACAGGGAGCGCACCGCACGAAAAATAAACGACCATTACACACTCTACCACAGCTGTTCTCCCCGCTCTCGCAACGTAGCAGCAACTCTTTCATGTCTGCCTGGCGCACCCCCTTGGATGTCGCAAGAAAGAATCAAAACAACCCCAAGAACACAAGCACGACAGGAAGCGCACCGCATGGAAAATAAATGGCCATTACATACTCTACCACAGCTGTTCTCCCCGCCCTCGCGACGTAGCAGCAACTCTTGGATGTGACAAGAAGAAACAAAAACAAAGAAAAGCACGACAGGAAGCGCACCGGAAGACAAGCAAACAACCATTGCTACAACAGCTGTACCCCAACCTTACTCCGTAGCAGCAACAAATTCTCTCATGTCTGCATGCCGCAATTGCCGTGGAGCCGCCCGCCACATCCTCCCTGGCAGACGTGGCCATGAAGGTCTTGCGGCGTTCTGTCCTGTTGAAGGCACAGTTCACCTTCCGCACAAGGCATGGTGCACCTGGTGTGGCGTCTGTCGTCTCTGGTGTGTCGTGGTGTGTGTGTGTTTTTATTATTAGCATCGACCGCGCTAACCGGCTGACCAATGAAAAGACGTCAGTGCCAGCGGGTACAAATCAAGGTCCCTGGAAGGGGGCCAAAATTCCAAAAATGCGCAATGCGCTAAATGCGAATGCTAATACGACTCTCTCTACATATTATATATATTTCATGTAGACATACATCTCAGCTACACAAATGCCCTCGCCCGAACCTAGGAAGCCACTGATGCAAAGAGCGGAGGACAGCAAAAGGGTTAATTCAAGCCCAGCCGAAACCAGGATATCGTGGTATGCTGCATCTCCCAATTTGATAATCGTACACTCCCAAGATCCAACAGTCATCGTGTCAGCAGCTAGATGACTCAAACAAAGTATGCCATAGCTCCACACATGTGTGTGTTTGTTTCGTTCTCCCATTATTGTTTCTGTCGTCTGCCCCACTGGCCCACATCCTCCACTACGACTAGCTAGACGACCCAACCGGGGTCACACAGGAGGGGGGGGCTGGACCCCCTTCTGCGGTACATGCCTATGATTGTTTTTATCGCGAGAGGGTTCAGTACTCCCACCCTCGTCAACGGTGAAGTTGATGCACCAAGGCATCATTTACTAACGAATTCAGGAGAAATTGCTTCCAATTCTTTCAGGAACGAAAGTAAGAAAAAAAAACAAATCGCCGGGGCTCGGACCCATGACCTGAAACTTAGAAGGTTAACGTGGATACTACCAACTAGACCACCGGGGCGACCGGTAGTGTGTGTGTGTGTCTACAGCAGGTAGTGAACCGGCACTATTGGGGGGCACAGCGGCGCCCAACCGGCACTATAACGGGCCATCCCTCAATAGTGCCGGACCGGCACTGTTGAGGGCGCTGTCTGTGTCCAGAAATTTAACCGGCACTATACCGGGCACCGGCACTATTCAACCGGCACTATAGAGGGCCCACTACTGTATCTAGACTGGTGCCAGAATAGATGTCAACAACATACACGCGAAATAGAAACACTATTTTCACAAACACAAAGAAGTCATATCACGAGCATTCGGCGGGCCCCACCCACCGATAAAAAAAATTGATAAGGCGAGCAGACAGGAGATGCAGGGGGGGGGGCGGGGTATGCGTCGGGGGTCGCCGCTCTATGAACCTGTCGGGTATTCTGGTACGCCTCGAATCCCCTACAATACGAATATGGCATTTACCGCTCCACTTCACGTACTAGTACTCGCGTACACTAGTAACGTTGCCGGATGTGTACTCTGGGTTCGTACCTGGTCCTGAAGTCGAACCGAGATCGAACGTCTTTCTTTGTGGGGAGTTTGGTTGTGTGAACCCACGTGCGTAAGACTACCGTAACAGAACTGCTGCAGCAAGACGTCAGCCTGAACCGCCTTTTCCTTTTCACAGCACGCGTTTCTTTCGTGCACCACGCACCGGTGCAAGTTCAGGCATTGGGCGGCTAAAACTAGTGTTGCCTCTCTATCCCGTGCCGTTGCCGTTTGTCTTAGGGCACCCGAGTAGTCATGGCTGAAGCCTACCTATGCATTCAGCTGGCGTCGACATTGTTCTTGGCCGGGCGGTGGGTAGCGAATCGGTATTCTGCTCGCCGCCGGCGGGAGACAGAAGATTACAATAAACCGGGCGCAGGCGACACCAGCGTGGAGATAAACGTCGAGTTCGGTCCCGAATGCGACACCGTGGAAGGCGCGATCATGGCGGTTGGGACGGAACTGGCCATGAAGGCGCAAAGAAAGTTTTTCGGGTCAAGAACGCTGCGCCAGCGGGCCATTACCGGCTTGTCACCAGAGTTCGCCACACACCGACGTCAGGTAAGAAAAGCTCAATAACGCTGTCGGTCAGTTCGAGCCTTCCTCTTCATCTCCCACGCCCAAGCTCTCGCTCTCTCTCAGCTCCACTCTTGCTCCGAAACCGCTCGCATATACGTGAAGGGTAGTCTACGTTGGAATCGATCCATGGAGGTCGGGGACGAAAGCCGCCGAATTGTGGTCCTTTCCAACAATGCCGACGGCCAAGGGGTATTTTTGCCGAGAGCCTATCTCTTATATTGTGCTTGTGAGAAGTAGTGCAATAGTTGCTGGTTCCCTTTGTTTTCTTTGTTGTGGCTTGAATCCAACGAAACCACGTAGTTCAGACCGTGCAAGCCACCGTACTTCAGACCTTACCGTACGCAACACCCTACTACCGTGTGTCCACTTCGCAGCACCACAATCGCCCTTCATATGTGTATCTCGCTACTACAAAACATCAGATGCAGCTCGGTCTTTCGGAGCTGGTCGCCAGACAAGGGCGGACCAGTCAGGCCCTAGCGGAAGGGTTTTTGGACGTGCGGGGCGACTTTCGTGATCTGTCGGAAACTGCTGCGAGCCAACAATCGGCCATCCAAGCCGTAGCGGACGAACTTGTGGGCGTTGGCAATGACTTTCGTTACGGCACAGATCAGGTGAGGAGGCCGGACATTCTGCAGTGTTGTCCCGCGAGGTGGTAAGAATGGGTGAGGTGGTAGGAATGGGTGGACGAGGTGTGACCGCCGAAGAGTCTACACTGTGAGCAGCGTACGAAGAAGTTCACCGTCGGTCAAGCTACCTCGAACGCAAACGCAACGATTTTTCGTGGTCACGATGATACCGCTATCCACATTCAATCGAAGCGTCTCACCTTGGCGATTAAGCACACAATCATCCGGACCTCGAGAGGAGAGTCCAGGAAACGGAATCAAAAAAATGTAGAGGCTCAAAATACATAGCGATTTGCTACCCTCGGACACAGGACAGAGTGGAGAGAACCCATCATTGCGAGTAAGATTGCGATGGGGCGAATCGCCTTTCTTTGCCACGTTGCTCGTGAAACATTCACATCCTACATAGACACATCCCTCGAAGTTGTAAAGACGAGATCATTCATGGAGTGTGCTCTCTTGCTCGTGGGCATTACTGTTGCTGTGCACCCTGCCAACATATCGTTTTCTCGGAGACTGAACAGCTCTTGGTGTTCGTTTCAGGCGGATTGCAGATGATGGGGTGCAGTTTTCGCTCGTTCCCCTTGCCAGTAGCGGTACAGTGTGGTGGTTTGAACATTATCAAAGGGTATGAAAAGTAAGCGGTAAGGAAAATTTCGGATGCTTGCCTATTCCCCTCCTTAATGTTGACGTCAACTTTTCCCTCTCCACCCTGTCGCTTTGATCGGCTCCTTCCTACGCGTGTACTCTTTTATGCAGCTGATCAAAGGTGTGGCTGCCGTGCATACGGATCTAGACACCGTTATCGAGAACGTGGAGGGAGTGCGGAACGAAGTCGTGACCGGGTTACTGGAGGTGAACCACACTTTGCGCCAGGGGACGGCAGTGATTTACAGGTCCCTGCAAGACTTGCGGTGCGTTATGGGCGAGCTCCAATTGTCCATGGACCAGGCTCGAGAAGAAAACTCTCTTTATTTCCAGGACGTGTCGTCGAGACTGAACGACGTCAAGTCGGGGCTGATCGCCTTGGAAGCGACCTACGTGATGCGGGAACAGCAAAAGGAAGTGAGTGCAAAGTATCTACGCGTTGACGTGACTGTAGAGCAACTTACGACCTTTGAAGTCGGGACTGATAGCCTGGGAAACCACCGTCGCGGTGCGGGAACAGAAAAAGGATGTGACGGCCAAGTACTTCCGCGTTGATGAATGGCTGTATTCTAAAGGATGAAAAACACTTCATGCCCCTGAGACTCCACGCTACATACTTCGTGCGCCGTTTTCCCTCCGCCGCGAAACCCAACCCGCCTTTCGTTCCCCTGAAAACGGCAGCTATCAAAACTCCAGAATTCGTTGAGCGAGGCCGGGATGTACCTCAACCAGTTTACAGGTACCGGAGGGGAAGACCTTGGACTCCTTGACAAGGCGCACACCTGTTGCTGCAAGGTACTTAGGCTAAGGCCTCATCTGGAAACCCTGGATGCCCATAAAATGGCCGGGATCATCATGGTAGCAACCAGTTACAGAAAACATGCCCAGGTACGTGGTTGAGTCTCGGTGGGTCGACTGCACATTGCCAAATAATTATGTAGTCTATCCAGGTTGGGATAGTAATGAATGGTATTTCCGGGCTCCATCCTAGGAATTACTTCCTGCAACCAAGTTTCGGTCGCCGGGATCATAAAGATTTCGTTCCAAAGCCCTGCATACCATTTCTTTGGAGGTGCGCTGCATCACAACCCCCGCCGTATGTTTTCCTTTTGTACCCTACAGCTAAAGCCTCCGGCCACGGCCAAGCAGTACGTTTTCGACTCCGATTTCCTGAACATCACGAACTCGTTGAAACATTTCTGGGCCGACCACGCCGCGGCGCACACACCCACCTGGAGCAACGTCGTGTGCTACCTGCTGGAGCTCTCCTCTTCAATCTGCCTGCTCCCACCAGAGGGCCTTGTCCTCGGCGGACTGGACCCTGGCCTTGTAGAAGCCTTCGGCGAGCTGTGTTGCTCGCAACCCTCCCTGCTCGACCGTTTCCCGGAAGTGGGAGGGGCGGCATGGAGGGCTCTCCTTCAGGCTAAGCCCCTCGACGAGCTCTGTCGCACGTCAAACGCCGCGGAAGTGGACATATCCTTGTGCAACAACAAGGCAGACCTCATCCAAGCTCTGCTTGACGCCGGGAAGCCCGTGGGTGGTGAGTAGAACACGCGTGAAGGAAGGCCCTTGTCGTAGCAATTGTTTATTGGTGAGGCCCGTATCAAGCGCTGAGTGTTGAGTGAAATGTATTTCCCTGTCCAACGTTTGCTGACCTAAACAATTTTGGTGGTAACGAAGCTTCTCAAGATCTTCCTCGGTGCTTGATTGTACATGCTTCTCGCAACACCCTCACGCCGCCCCTGCCGCAGCGTTGACCCAAGTCATCGAGAACGGCGGGTGCAAAACTTGCTACCACCGAAAGCCGGACAATTTCGACGAAAACATTGGGAACGATCGGAACAGCGCTTACAGCGACGGTGAGGTGTATGAGTCTGAGGAAGCGAAGCTAGCGGCAAGCTTAGCGTCCGTGTACGAGAACAAGCGTTCCCCAAGACTTGACCCCAGAGCTGAGCCCAGCGACACGGCGGCTAGCGACATGGAAGATTTTCTAGCGAGAAGCCCAGCATGGTAAAAAGCGCCGCAGGCGCTGGCGGAGGTCAAAGCGCCCAACCTTGCGACCAATGTAGGATAAAACCGCCTCTGGAAGCGGAAGTTCCTCGTTTCTTCGGGGTGGTCGCGCTCAGATTAGCACTAGGTAGCGTGGTGGGGGCATGTGTCTTACCCCAGTTAGGCCAGGGTCAGGTCTATACATGGAGGAGGAGTGATCGGTGCAGATTTAAGCCCACCCCCCTTCAAGTCGATCTTTTGTTCGAGGCTCGCGGGCTTGAACGTCTTCCTGACGAATTCGTGCCAAAGCATTTGGCCTAATTGTTGTCGTTTAATCCCGTCTCTTCCATTGCAGCCATTACCAGATGTGAATACTGCTGGAAGTGTCTGTTTTCTTTTTCCGGTGTTCCTAATATTTTTAAGCATGGCTGCAAGACTCGCCATGTACCAGCATGCAGCGGGGGTAGAGCCTGGCCGGCCAAAACAAGGCATGGAATATTTCGGCATAGTACGGATATGAGGGGTGCATTGTCTTTGATGGCTTGTTGGCAAAATGCAGAATTCGTATCACCCGTGCCTTGATCTTTGCAAACATGTCCGACCTTTGCATAGGCGGGGAGAAATATTAGAATGTCAAGCATCGCGAGGTGATTCTCGATACGCGTGATTTTGGTTTTGTACGCATGATTTATTTCTTGGTCTCGTATGTCGAGTGGGAACGGTGGGGTCTGTGTGCTTATTTATTTTGTGCTATATCGCTTTGTCCGACATGTCTTGCACGTGCTATTGTCAGGCGGCGACGCATGAACATATCAAGATTTATATTTAGTAAACGATGCCACTTGTAGGTCGAGCAAAACACCGAAAAAGCCACGGCCGCGAGGCTCACCACCCAGCCTGAGTGAGTGACTCTGTCATGTACACCCAATCATAATACCACCACCACCATGTTCCCTCCATCGTGCAAGAATAGGAGGTTTCGTGGTGTAGGCAGTGCCACCTTCCACGTCCCTTTCCTCTGTCTTCTCGGTCGGTGGCCAGCTACAGTACGACGGGAGTTACCGTGCCATTCCGTATCAACTCAAGGATGAAACACGCGCGACGCTATTGCGAGTAAACGACACGAGACACGCACTTGTTCGGGCTGTAGACGACTCCGTAGATTTGTGCACAATGTGGGCACTACTCGAGTACTTTTCCCGCACTTTCGCTCCTTCTTGGGTTGAGCGCGATGTCAGGCACAGGTGCGGGTTGGTGTCAAACCTGGCCGGACCACGCAGCAGCCCGTCCACCCATAAACATAGCATGCTTTTTCGAGGTTTATTTTCCTTCCGGGATTGTTTCCGTAGTTGATAGTTCTTGCGGATACTGAGGCGTGATTGGTCGATTTGTTGCAACATGGTGTCGGATGACGCGCGCGTCAACGAAAAAGAGAAACCGGTTTCTCCCAAGAGTACGCTACCTGACCTATTTATCTCCGTAGGAAACGTATATTACTGCAACCCTAGCATGCTTGCGGGTCGGCCCAACCATGTGCAACAACCTCGCTTGCGTGCACTCTGTGGCAGCTATCGAATGCGAAGTATCCTTATCACGTCCACGCAGTCCGAAATGATACTGTAAGGCGTGTCACTCGGTGATGAAATATTTACTTGAAGTCGCAGTGAGTGACACGTTCCATTTTGCATCGATCTCATAGACGAAAACCCTCATATCATTTCACAGGACCACCCGTTCGATGGAAAAAACTCCTTCTTCCATTAAGAATCGTGCTGCTGCTGCCCTTCCCTCGTTTCCCTCCTCACCCAAACCATGATTGCACGCCGCGAAACCTAGCTACACTTTCACGCTGGAGGCAACGTGCCGAAAGGAAGCCAAATGTTACTTTTCTCTGATCGAAACCTTCAACACCGCCTGCGACTTGCTAAACTTGGCGGTCACGCTGTCTTCATCCACAACGCACGGCATCTCCAGCCGGAGCTGGTACTTCCCCGGGACATTTAGCTGGAGGAAGGCCGGCGAAACATCAAGCTCTACATCCGACAAGGACGGTCCCGTCCTCTTTCCCGCCGTTCCGCTGCTCCGGGTGCTTGTAGTTCCCCCCGCCTGTTTTCCCTGTTTCGTTCCCGCGGACTCCTTCATCTCCGGCAGGTCGATGGTTACCTGGAAGGCCCGCTTCGCTTTGCGCCCTCCACCGCCATTGTCTGACCCTGAACGTGCGTCTTCCGACGTACGTGAAACTAGCTCTTCGATCCGGTATACCGGCTCGCGTTCCTTTAGTGCAGCGGCAGAGACAGCAGGCGAGAGCGGTTGGGTGTGGCGGCACGAGCGGGAGCCCTCGGCATCCTCGACACCGGCCGGGGAAACTGTATTTGTGGGGGCTGGTGCCGGTAGGGGTGGTTGCCCCTCCATCTCCGTCGTAGGTGCCGTCGTCACCGGTGCTACCGCTTCCCTTGCGAGTATTGCTTGACGCCCCTCCTCTGAACCCTGATTGGGGGCTGACGTAGGAAGCTTGTTTCGCGCTGCACAAGAACCATCGGCGCCGCCGTCAGCCCCTCCCTCTGACCGCTTAGCGCTGCGGGAGGGCGGTAACGTATCCCCGGTGGCGTCTGCCGCCAGGTTGGACGCCTTTGGTACGGCCACCGATGTTGACGGCCGAGTTGACGAAGAGGAGGAGGAAGCAGTAGCGCATCCAGGGCCGAAGGGCGTTTCTGGCAGAGGTGCCGCGGGCCCGAGGATCTTGGCTAGCTGTGCGAGCTGCTCCGTCATGGGGTCTTCTTCTCCGCCGTGTGAAGGCTACCAAATACGAGGAAGAACAACGGCAAGGGTGACGGCCTTAAAAGTGAAAAAAAATCATCTGGCATGGTGTTCGACTTATTGCTAATGCTCGGTCTGCCCACTTATTGTAAAAATAAGCGCCGTGCTCTTGCCTGGAGATACTATGTAATAGTGACGCTTGATGCCGCGGTTCGGTTCAACCTACCTTGCCACCTGTGCCGTCGCCCATCTCGGGATCGGCGAGCGCCACGAGACGCTCGTATTCACGATCCACCTTGCTTGATCGACCGCGTGCATCACCCCTCCCTCCCCCCTCCTCGCCCTTGATCCTACCACGGCCAACGCCCGCTCCGAGAAACCCCTTCTTCACGGCCGCAGATGCCGCCGGCTTGCGTCCGGCGCGCCCGGCGGTAGGTGTAGGGGAAGGCTTCGGTTCGGGGGTCTGCGAAGCAGGCCGAAGCGGTGCACCACCGCCAGCGTGGGCCTTCATCGCCGCGTCCATCTGTCCAGGGAGGATGTGGGCGGCGACAGAGAACAGGCACGGTTATCGCAAGCCTAGAAAGTCCGCAGGTTATCACGAGAACTACATGAAGGGTGGCAGAGCTGTTCCCTCCGAACGTCCACCACGGGCAACGGGAGTCGGAAGGCGTACTGCCATCATTGCTCTCCTTGATACCCGTCGAGGTTGTATATCTAAGTGCGCACGACCTTCTAGTCAACGTACTTGGAAGCAACAGCTCGAGCATGAAATACCGTACCACGGTTTGCGCTTGGGTCTTCTGAGGGCAACGTATAACCACTGCTTTAGAACGACAGAAGACTGCACTTCGGCCGACTGCGAGATTCTCAGCTGTAGGACGCAACGCGTTTGCCATGTCAACGCGTTCGCCATGTTGTCACACACACCTCCTCTTTGCTGTGGTCTCTGGTGTCCACCACCTTGCAGCGGCTCATGAGCTTCGCGTAGGCCGACGGCTCGGCTCCGTTCTCGGACCCACCGGGCGGGTAAAGCGGCGCCCTCTCCAGCCCCGCCTTCCCCCCTACCTTGAAAGACGACAGGAAACCCTTCTTTACTACGGGCGCCGATTTTTTGCCAACCTTCCGCTCCACACCCGGCTCCTGACCCTGACATCCATCGACTGCCCTGGAATCATCACTAACCTGGCGCAGTGCCTCTCCTCCATCACCAGCACGTGCTGTCGTCGTCGAGGTGTCGGGTACGATTTCGGAAATTAGAGGGCCGCGGCGACCCTCATTCAGGCCGTTTTCTGTCCTTTTTCTGTCGCCGCTATCGGACGCTAGTCCCGCGAGCGCTCCGGGGAGTAAGATGTCGCGCGTGGCCGAGGCGTTCCTGTTTCCGCCTCCTTTCCTGTAGCCGCCGTGGGCGTTGAGGCCGAGTGCCCCCGGTATTCCATCTCCCTCTCCTCGTCCTGTCGGGCCCCCGTCAACGGTTGACGCTGTCGCCACCTCCTGTTTTCCTTCTTTGCTGTCGCCATTTCCGCCAACCCCTGACTCGCCATCGGGCTCGGAGCTCCTGATGGCCGCCAGGAGGGACTTCGGGTCATCGAGGAGCCCACCGCCGCCTGCGCCGCTGCTGCCGCCAACTCCGGCAGCTGGTCCACCGCCACTCCCGCGCGTCCGTTCTTCCAGGGGATCGGCTTGTGAGGAGGCATCGCCCGCGGGAAACGGGACAGGCGTTCCCCCTTTGGCTCCGTCCCCGCCCTTGTAGGTGCAGAGCTGTTTTTTTTATTTTCGTTGAATGGTTTGTTTAGTTGGGGTTGTTGTACATTTTCGCGATGGTTTGGTCGGTTCATCATCGAACTAGAAGAGAGAAATGCTTTCATTTCGTTCTATGGATGGCCTAGGTCGACTACACTACTTTAAGCCCGCCAAGTCCTTGTTTCCGGCCGTGGCTGAAAAGGCAGGTGCACTACATGCTTGCTGATTCAAGAACGTACGTCAGCCTGTCCGAGTATAGTCCAGGGTTTTAGTGCAGAATAGTGGCCACGGCTGGATCTCGGCTGCGAAGGGGTATGGCAGCGTGCATGATCTCGGGTCAATGATAATGTCAGTCGGAACGAAGAAGGTGAGCTGGACCAAGGCCGCTACCCGTGAGCAAACATGAAAAAGATTGGGATGACGAAAAACCCCAAGCGAAACACAAGACACATCAAGTTGATCATTTGTGGCGGTCGGTGTCACCTTGAGTAGCTTCCGCCGCTGGGAGACCACCAAGCCGGGGTGTTCCTTGGTTATCCAGCCTGCCGCAAGTGCGACGACCTGTTTGTTCGGAGTCCAGCGTTCAGGTACCGCCCCAAGGGCCGAACAGCCCGATATGTTGTTGAAGTTGATTATTTCAAGGAGAAGATCTGTGGAGGCAACGACAACGCACTTTCTTGCACTGCACGTAGACAATTCACACCGGATGAAAAAGCCATCGGCAGCAGAGGCCTTGACAAGTGGGTTTCATCAACGCTTGAAAGTAAGCCATGGCAGTCGAACCAGCTTTCCGATAAACAACACATGATGAGGACTGACAATTTTTTCTGGTCCCGGCACGTAAACCTAGCCACAAGTAGCGTTTAGGTCAGGGTCGACTGATGACGCACGACGCACAACGATGGCGAGCGAGACGAGCCAACCCTGAGCCAAATTCGCACCTGATCCCGGAATCGAGGCTCCCCCTTGCTGCAGCGAAGCACCCACGGGTGAAAAACCACGTCCACGGCGAGCGCTCTCTCGTCGCTGTGGTCGGTGGTCTCCCTCACGCGGCTCACGAACATCGGAATCCGTAGTCCCGACGCGTTCCGACCCTCCTTCGTCACGTCGACGGGGCTATCGGTCTGGTCACCAAAAAACAATTCGAAATAGGTTTTGGCTTCAGAAGGCGACCCCCCTTCTCACAGGCAAGGGACATAGAGTTCGCAACCTCCACCTACTCGCCGGATAGGCGTTGTCCTGAGTTCTGAAAATGGCAAGGGATAAACCGCCCAAACACAATCCTTTGATGGCGTTTCATATCGTGGGGGTGTGACTGGGGGCTAGCGTTTCCTCGCGGCCTTCCCTTCAGACGTTGCCCCCTTCCCTTTGGATGCTGGACTTGAACCAGAACACACCTGACAGACAGAACCCGACCAACCTCAATCCTCGAGTTGCGGTGATGCCTCGACTTGGAATGAGTGCAGTACACTGGACGCACGCGTGGTGCCAAACATAACATTAAAGCCGGAACCTTTGAGAACGAAATGGCTTCTTCGGTCTCTTGCCTGGTCGATCGGGGGCGACACTCCTTCATGCTCGCAGAGGTTGATGAACACCTTGGTGCCAACCGCGGCGTTTTCCACAACCTTGCCCGTGCCGCCGCCGACGCCGCCATCGACGGCACTTGGCAGAGGGGCCCATGGGCGTTGCAGCGATGCTTTGACCACGAAACCCGGAATGGGGGTGAAGAACTTTCCCTTCGGCTTACGCTGATCCGCAAGAGTGTAGAAAGCAGCGAGCGAGAGGGTACTGTCAGAGAGAGCGCGGGATAGGCTTTCGCTCTGCTGCTTACGACAAGGATGAAAAAATACGAAACACGAAATGTCAATTGCTACTCGGGGAAACCTTGGGGGACAAGGGTGGCCTAAGCTGGTTTAGGTCACACGGTGCTATCAGAAGCGCGGATACACCCTTTTCCTAAAATACAGCTCGATGTCACGTGTTTTCAAGGCGCTGTTGTGCAAGCGGAGGTCGTATTGCGGAACATTTTGCCGTGGAGCAATTTGTCATGGTATTTTAAGGGAAGGAACCAACAAGCCCCTGACGCAGCGGGGGTGGTAGGACGTGGTGGGGTTGCGAACAACGCGCATCAACTGGAAACAGTAGGAGAGTGTCGATACTCCAGCGTTGAACACTACTGCGCAACCCCTTGTTCCTGTTGCGCTCCTTCCTTAGAAGTCCGATTAGCTTCACCTTGGGTCCCGCGACCAACGTGGTCTTCACCAAAGTGTTGTACTACTACACGGAATCTTCGAACTGTATGAACTCCAATCCTACTTCAAAAAGTCTTCATGACCGTAATAGGGGCCATATTACGTGACGTATTCAGGCACGTGTCGTACTAGTGTACCTCTAGTGTACCTCTCTGTAGGAATGAACGTGCGAAAACACTGCAAGTCGACTCTGGCGAGGCATCAGAGCTCGAATGCAAGCCATAAACGATGTTGATCTCTTGCAAACAATCACTTTGCACACATAGCTACTATCCCATCTGCAGCTTCTTTTAGCAAACTGCCCGGTCATTCAAGCCGAGCCTCTAAATAATCCACGGAAAAACAATAGAGCAGTATCGTTCACAAGGAATGAGGGGGTAACCCCAGGCTACATCACGACCGACGGAACAGGCGGCAGTGGTGGAAGGTTACAATGAAACCTCGGATACCCATGCGTCGTAAGCATGGAAGAAGATGCACATTTATGAAACTCCTCTGGTGGTCTCGGGAACGGGCAATTTAGCCTGTTAGTGAACAGTGCAGGTCACTACATATCTGGACAGCGATCTCATACCGAACCTGCATCGCGAGTTTGAGGACAAAATCATTCCTACAAAATAGACTTCACTACACTGATGCTGACCGACTCCTGAAGCCTGTCCAAGTTGTCCTCAGCCACATGTTCACAGCTTTTTTTACTGCAACAGAAGTTGCAGTCTCCTTAATTGGTTCCAATTTCTACCAATAGGGCGAAGTACGCACCAGTGCGTGTGCACCAGCTTTGGCCATTTCTGCATACGCAGCGCTGTCGGTGACGGCGAGGTCGTCAAGCATTTTCCACATGTTTGCAGCCTGTGGTTCACGGTCAGCACACGGCATATTAGGTCGGATATTCGTGGGAGCGTTATTGATGGTGTACGAGCATGGAGTAATGCAACTTCAAGGAGGTGGTGGCAACGCGGAAACGAGTGAACACCCTACAGCCCTAGGCTTGGATTCGATGTTGCGCCTGCAGCACATCGAGCAACACAACAAAGATGCAATGATGAATATTGCGTAGAGAAGCAGGGAAGACCGGCCACAACCATCGCCCCGCTTGACCAATGCACCCTGCATAGAGCGTGTGCGGAAAAAACAGCGTGTTTACCCCGTGCCTGGGTGCGAATCTACATATGTCCAAGTGAAGAATAGACACACGACCGATGATACGGATGGAAACACACTCCGCTCGTATGCATCTATTTGCGGGCAGACTACTGTAGGATGTCCATGTTGAGGGAATGGAGCAACATGTCGGAGGGTAATGCTGCCGACCTGTGGACCGAAATCTTGCCCAAAGCCCATCTCCTTCGCGAGCGCCGCCGCTTCTCGCATTCCAACACGACCGCTGTTGCCCCCTCCTCCCCCGCCCAACCCTCCGGCTGTTCGGCCAGATCGGATGTCTCCCGGTCTCGCCGAGTGAAAGAGCGCGGAGTTCATGTTTGTTATGCGCGTTCTGAAAGCAAGACGGACCCAGTCGATCGAGAGACTGGGGGTGGCAAAGGCTAACGGGACGCCGAGGTCCAAGGCGACACACGCGTACCTGAGGCGCAAGAGGCAGGTACGGGTAAGAGCACAAGAAGATCCAAAAGATCTTTGCTTTTTCTCTCCGCGGGTTTTGATGTGGGGGGGGCACGCCATGTGGCGGAGCCCCCCCCGGCCCGGTTGGGTTGAATTTGGTTTGAAAGTACACATACAAACCCTAAATTATTGGTCTTGACCACCACCGAGACACACAATCTTTGCCTCTCCTACCAGCAACCGCCTCCCTCTTCTGTAGCCAATCTGGTTCGTTGTCAAGGGACTGCACGATCGAGTACAAGAAAAGAGATCAGGGCTACGTCCACGCGGTACGGATCACGAGAAAATAGTAGAGTTCAAACTACAGCAGTACAAGGATTTAACAAACGAAGAACACCCCGCTTCTTCCAACACCACGGACAGCTTTCCGGCAGCACCAGCACCAGCACCAGCAGTTGAACTGCGCAGCGACAACAACCAACAAGACCATGTGCAAGGCCGGCCAAGGCAAGGCCGACGGCGGGATACTCTCGCGGATGCGCCAGCTCCAAGGAGACATGCCTGCTGATGAAGGCGAAGGTGAGGCAGAATCCCGCAAACAAAAAGAGAGGTTGTTGTATGCTGTCTTCTTCACATTGAAGTTGATTTCGTCTGGCCTGGTCTTCTCAACGCCGCTGCTCCATGATGTTGGCGGCGGCAGCACTATCAGCAGCGCTCGCTTGTGTCGCGCGTGTCTGAACCATGGACCGGAATCGATGTCGTGGGTATGGTACTAGCCGGCGCCCCCGTCGCGTGTGGCCGTCGGCCTCTTTCCGTGTGCCTTGAAAACATGGGCGCCCTCCGTTGTTGGTTGGGGGTGTGGTACAGAAGTTTCCCGCAGGGTCAACTTCGGCTCCTCTCGATGATACAACACGCACCTTCTACTTGGTGCTGCTGTACCACGTCTTTGCCCACACACTCCAGAGAAAGTAGCGGCAGCGACGACCGTGATGCTGCTGCGTTGCGCCTGATGTTGAAGACACGCCACACCCCCTACCCCCCGGTGATCGGGAGCATTGCGCCCGAAACAGAGCAGAAAAGAGTGATGCGGCCAAGAGGCAAAATATTTTGTCCGCCTGCTGTTCCGCGTGCTGTTTGCGGCAGCAGGTTTTCCCGGTCACCGCATGAACGATTACATCATGCAACTACCGTCTGGACAGGGCAGACTACCACGGGTTGTTGCCGCGACGCCCCTCCCCTTCTTAAACGATGCGATGGAGGATGAGTCGGAATAGACGTATCGACTTTGGGTTCCACGTCTCGCTCCCCCGCTACCTACGATATGCCCTCTGAGGTTTTCGAGTTTGGCTGGTGTTGTTTGCACTTCAACACCAGATCCAAAACTATGCATGCATATGCTACAGCAGTACATTACAAAAAGACTCCCCATACATCCCGTTCGAGTACTGTGGGTATATCTCGAACCGAGTCTCTCTGTGTTTGTTTTTATTTTTCCCATCACAGGACATTTCGATTTCGATCCGCCTTATGCATATGCATACAACGAATATTCGTTGAAATATTGTTTGTCCTCTCTCCATTTCTTTTAAATGGCGGGTTCAACGGAACTCGGTGTATAATCGATCGGCAATGGATCTGGTTCGTGCGTAACAGAACGATCAGCGGACTTGGAAGGCGTTATTACGCCTCTCGAATTTCCGCCCGACACGAATTCCTTTTGGAATTTTAAACCAGAACGACCCCGTTCCGCTTTTTTTATTGTTTGGTCGTCGCTACAAATCCGCGCTTTACAGCATCTGTGCCGTCTACTGCAACCCGTGATCACACAGAATTCCGCAAATGGCAAGATAAAGTCGGCCTTACTCGTCCTGTAGTTGGTTGTTTGTCCGTGTGCCTATTGATTTGATCATGGAACTTGGAAGGCGTTATGCATGTAGCATTTCTCTGGTAAAACTCAACCACCTACAGCTACCTGAAGAGCCAGTGTGGGACCAGTCAGGTATTGGTGGGGACGACGGCTGTGCAACAAGAGCGCTACTGCTGTACGGCACAATCTCGCGGCGTGTTTTGCTCTCCGGCAGTGTTGTTGTTGTCACATTAAAAAAGAGAATAAAATATTATTCGTTCCGATCTCGTACACACGGCATTATTGTGCATGTAGGACCCGATGCCTGGTGAGCTACGAGAACGGGTAGGGTGGGTCGACGGTTGACCGCCCCCACTCATGCGGCCAGTATGACGTTGCTTGCCACTGTAACGGTCGAGGTCCCGATATAGTGCCGTTATGACCAGACGATTTCATCGGCACGTTGTATAGTGGGCAACCCGCACTATATCGGTACCTCGGCTGTACTAGGCGCTCGCTCTCGTTACCATGCGAGCGGCCACGCCACCGGACGTTTCGCATACTCTGTAGGGAGTGAGCCTCTGGAAAAATTGTCGTAAGCTACGCCTCTGCAGGTGGTGCTACGTCGGTCAATGCTACGGTAGACCCACACCGCCGTTGGTCCGGCACTGGCACATGCCTGGCGGTTCCGGTAGCATGTAGAGGGCTCGCTGTTCTTGTGTTGAGAAGTGCTATAGAGAACCACCGCTATCCTATCCCGACAATATGGACAGACAAGACAGAAGTCATGGCGCTGTAAAGCAGTCAGCACCGCACACGCGTAATTTTTGTGTACGTCATCTACAACCCTAGCGCGGGACGACGACATGAACCGAATCGCCACTCTTCCGCCGCGCCAAATAGTACAGCCATCCCGGACTCCTTTTCGTCTGAAGAGGTGTTGCCTTTTTTTGTGCGAAAAATCGGTGTTGGGTCGACACGCAGTATTATTGTGATGAAGCAAACAACGCGGATGAAGTATAGAGCCGGCCAAGTTGGGGGCTAGGGTTAGCGTGTGCGTGCCCCCTGCCTGGGTCTGTTGTTGTGTTATTCCAACTTTCTTTTGAGTAGGCAGTCCCGAAAATATATATTCAAAGGCCTCCGAACAACAGCCGACGGCCTCCGAACAACAGCCGACGGCCTCCGAACAACAGCCGACGGCCGTCTGGTTCTTTCCCCCCCCCCCCCCGCCGCCAGGCGCAAGCGGTGTCGCCGGCGCGAAAGAAGACGAGGGGGATGGGGCCGCGGCCCTCCCGCCACCCCTCCTGCCGCCGGTCCTCCGGCTGCTCTCGGCCGACGTTCTGACGGAGGCGTGCACGCTCCTCGACCCCCGCTCCCTCGCGACGGCGGCGGCGGCGTGCCGGTCGTTCCGCGACGTGTGCCAGGGGGCGTACCCGTGGAGGGGGCTGTGTTGTCGGGAGTGGGAGCTGTCGGACGCCACGGAGGAGGAGGAGGGAGAGGGAGAGGCGGTGAGTGTCGGCGAGTTGATACGATTGCGGCGTCCGGGGAGCATATTAGTCTGGTTTGGAAGGGCGCGCGCGATTGCTGAGGCCAGTGTGTGTACGCGGCGGGATAAGCTTTGGGGAGGGGGGGGCGGCAGGGGCTACTGCGTTAAGCAGCACTCAGTACGACCTTTTCTTCCATCCAGACACGCCTGACGGGTGCCGTGAGCATTGCTGTATATTATGCGGGAAAAGTGCCCTCTTCGGCGGGAGAGTGGACCACACCTTGCAGTATAAGAAAAGTGGCCAGTACCAATGCGCGTGGTTCTTTTATCTGCATGCATCGAGCTCGTGTTGTTGGCGGACGTGTAACATGGTGTGTCCGCTACACCGGGATGTTTCCTACCTACCATATTGCTTTTGTTTTCTTCAGCGCGTTTTCTTCAGCGCGTTCCTCATGTCCAACTTACTCCTGCCGCTATTCTTCTACTCCTGTCTCCTTTTCTTGCTTTTTGTCCGTCAGTCGGCGCCAGCAGTGCAAGTGCCCCGCAGCCGGCTGCACTTTCGCGACTCCATCCTGGGGTGCGACTTCCGCAAGCTGTTCCCCCTGATCGAGCAGATGCCCACGGGCTTCGACTGCTCCTTGCTCCGTGGTGGCTCTCCCGCCAGCGGTGCAAACAACGCCGACGGTGCTGATGCCCAAGAACCCGATGACGACAACCACCAGCAAGAGGCGAACAACCATGAGGGCGCAGCAGCAGCAGCAGCAGCCGAAGGGGACGGTGACGGTGATGCCGCGATCAACCAAGGGGCGGGGGCGCCGGCAGCAGCAGCAGGTGGCGGCGCGGCGGCGCGGGCTCCCGAGGAAGCAGAAGAGAAGGCCGGCGACTTCGTGATCAGGGGGGTCAGGCGGCGGCCGGCGAAGAGGCCGCTCTCTCCGGGCGTAGCAGCAGCAGCAGCAGCAGCAGCGCCGGCGTGGGCCTCGACGGCAAGGGAGGAGGGGCAGCGGCCGCGCTCCTCCTCCTCCTCCTCGTCTTCCGGCGACGTGGCCCTGCAGGTGGAGTTCCGCGGGGGGCTTGGCGTCGGGAACCGCTGCGTGCGGGCCGACCTACCGCTGCCGAGCACGGTCTTACGGGAGCGAACGGGGGCCGGGGCGAGGTCTAGCCTGGCGAGACACTTGGAGACGTCCCCGCTGGCCCTGTTCCGCTGGCTGCTTGCCAAGATGGCGGCGACGGCGAGCGGCGGCGCTGGTGCCGGCGGCGGCTCGGGCGCCGGGCGTGCGTCTCCTGCGTCTCCCGCTTCGGCTGTACACCCAGGTCTTGTCGGGGACCACCAATTTCAACACAACGCACAGCAGCAGCAGGCGGGAGGGGTCGCATTCGCGGCGCCCGGGGCGATGCTGCAAGCCGGATTGGGGCAGGACGGTGCCGCGGCGACCGGAGAGCGCCGCAGGCGTGCTTCCTCGCTGCCCAGCGGGGGGCCGGACGGTGCCGGCGCTTCTGGCGGGGGTCAGCACGGGGAGAAGCCGAAGCTGCCGCGGGTGCTGTGCTTCCCGGTTGCGTTGGGGAGGGGCGTCGTGGACGTTACCCCTAGGCTCGTCAGCTACTTCGAGGTGACGTCGGTTGTGGGGCAGGAGGAGATAAAGGGACGTGGATCTTTTTCTTTTTTTGTGTGTGTGGTGTGCGTAGCGAGGGCTAGGAGAGAGAGTCCCGCGACGGGTGTCACAGCAGCCGTACGGTTTCATAACAGGCGCCCTTGGGAGGCCTGCCGTATGCGACAGTGGCGGCAACGATGACGTCAAGAAAAATGTGTGTGCAATAGTATCATGTCTCCCCAAGCAGATAGATATACCCGGTCCCCACCACCACCACCGCTTCTTGACATCACGTACAATCCTTACTCCGTTCCCTCCCTTGGCTTGGAATTATTTTGTTACACGCAGGTGACGATCATTGCCCCGCGGCTGGACGCTCCCCACCCCATTCCCGACTGTATCGCTGTCGGGGTCAGCGAGAGCCGTTTCCCGCTCAAGGGCAAGATGCCCGGCTGGGACTCCCGGTCGTACGGGTACCACAGCGACGACGGCGGGGCGTTCCACGACGCCGGAAGCATGCTCTTCAAGTGGGTGGTGTTTTTCGTTGTTTTTCGCGTTGGCTTTGTGCTTGCGGGTATCGTCGTGGTGATGGGTAGAGGGTCATGTACTGTAGTTCGCACAACATTGAATGAGCATTGACGTTTTGCCCTGAGAGGTGGGCGTGCTCGGCACACACCAGTCTACTTTGGGCATGACGGAGCGGCTAAGAGAGGGGGCCGGGACAAGACAACACCGTTCTCTTAGTCCCGGTTTTCTCTTACAAAACTGTACCACCATGTATTTGTGTGCCTTTTCATGCCCGGGACAAGCCATTTTGTCTCTCTCATCTCCGCACGCATATTTCTCAATACACAATCTCTATTTCTCCTACCAGCAGCCACTTCTGTACTTGTTTCTCACGCCCCCCCCTCCCCCCCCCTTCTGCAATGTATTCTCTGGGATGGGACCCCCAACCCCCGCCGCTGCAGGTGTGGCCCCTCCTTCGGCGCCGGCGACGTGGTTGGGTGCGGTCTCGACTACAGCGTCGGGGGCGACGCCGCCGACATCTTCTTCACGCTCAACGGAGAGCTGCTGAACGGAGGTTCCGCCGCGTTCCGAGGGGTGAGGGGAACCTTCTACCCCACGGTGGGGGTTGACTCGGCGTGCCCGGTGCGGATCAACCTCGGGGAGGAGCCTTTCAGGTTGGACCTCGCGGCCGCGCTGCGGGAGGGGGGGCAGGAGGCGACGGCTCGGGAGGTATGTGGCGTGGATTGAGTTTGGTTTGTCGTGGTACTGGGTGTGGTGTGGATCGGGTTGTGTGTGTCGTGTGATGGTTGGGGGGAGAAGGAGGAAGCAGCTAGCGCGGGGCGGGAGGAGGTAAGAGAGAGAGAGAGAGAGAGAGAGAGAGAGAGCGAGAGAGATAAGGAGGGAAGCGCAACACGCAGGTAGACATCAGAAGGTAGCTAGCGTTGGCCTAGAGACTTGCAACGAAATACGCGCTCACTGATGTGTGTAACTGTTTTCCGATCCCATCGCTTGTGGCGTCACTGACCCCACTCTCCCCGCCCCTCGCCCCGTGTTCGTCTTACTCCCACCAACGTCAACGGCGACGCTGACACAACAACACCAGTCGGTGGCCCAGCACGAGCCCAAGCGCAGCCGCACCGCAGCAGCCGCTGTTTCTGCGCCGGCGGCGGGCGAGGGAGCGCCGTCTATGCCCGCCGGTGCGAAGGCAGCGGCCGGGACCTCGTCTTCATCGTCGTCGTTCCCGGGGCGATCGCGGCAGCGGTCGTTGCCGCTGCCGGACGTTCTGCCGCCGCCCGCGGAGGGGAGCTCCATCAGTGGAGTTAACCCGCACGTGGCGCTGAGCTACTGAGGGGGTAGCGGCGACGGTGTAGCGGGGCTTGCTTGTCGATAGAAAGGGAGTTCTGTCCGCGCGTGGCCTGAGGGGAGCGGCGGTAGCGATAACGGGGCTTGCTTCTCGATAGAAAGGGAGCTCAAGTCCGTCTGTTCGTCCCTGTGAAGGCGTGTTGTACAGACAGAGCAGCGGCGGCGTACTAGCAGCTGGTAAACGCGACACGAGTTGTTGGGAGACTCCTGACTGACTGGACTGTTCACCGGCCGCCCCACGCCGAGAGAAAAGCGCGACACAAGCAGCAGTCAGCCAAGTACGTTGCGTTTTTTGTTGTTTTGCTGCGGCTGCTGCTGCTGCTGCTGCTGCTGCTGCTTGTCAGATTAGCAACCAGCAGGTGTGTAGTCTACGTACCACATTTTTATTCTCGCCGGGCGCGCGGTGTCAAACCGTCGCCGCATCAAAGCCGTGCGGTGTGGATGGCTCGTTGTGTTTTGTTTTTATGTGTATGTGTTTTTTTATTATGATCATCGACGGCGCTAACCGACTGACCAATGAAAAGACGCCAGTCTCAGTGCGGTTGAGAACACACAATGCTGCTAAAGGCCGCATGATCTGGAACCGACGTGTGTGTTGCGGTCTCTCTGTGGGGGGGGGGGGGTTGTATGGCGCTATTTTGGATTTGTTACTTACAAGTGTTTGCTGCGAGAAGAGGTACAAGGATCGCTATTTATTTTGTACATGCGTTCTTCGATTTCCGACTGCTCTTCGAGGCAGATCTGTTTTTGTACATTTGCGGAGAGGATGGGAAAAAGGTAGATGTAGATACGAAATTGGAAAATTCCGCCTTTCGCTGCAGCTGCAAGCTGTTCGCCGCTGGTGCCCTGCTCGTAACTCGATACTGTTTGGGAACACGCGGCGTTTCGCGAGCAGAATGCGTATCTTGCTGCAATCACTGGTTGGTATCTCCAAAACCTTTGGCGTTGTAGTTGGATAGGTTCTGGCGGTCCAATGATTTCAACAGGACCTCGAGATCATATTCTACAAGTTTACCGTAATCTGTTGAGTAAAAGGGGGGCAGGGTGCTCACCCTCCTGGCATTTTGAGAGCGCGGAGGCAGGGAGTCACCGCGGTTTTGTTTGGCTGATCAGATGTGATTTGCGTGCTGTCTATGTAACGTTGATGTGTGGGTCGTTTTCGAAGCACGCCACAAGAGACGACCCCAGAAATATGCGTTTTATTTCCCGAGCCGCCGCAGAGCAGTTGACTTGTCTGTCGTTTGGTGTCGCGATGAGCACCGAGGAGCAGGGGTAGTAATATATACTGGTATATAACACAATTGGGCGTGTCCGGCTTAATAACCGGCGTGCTTGCTGCGCCCGCCTTTCTTGCGTGTTGGGGGTCCGCCAGAGGCTTGTTTTGAAGCGGTGGGTGGTTGGACAATACAGTAACGGCAACGTGAACTTCGATTTTTTTTTTTCTATAGTGGAAGACGATTCATGGATTTGCTGCATATGTAGCTGATCCGCGGCTTCTTGGATGCTGTACGGATTGCCATGTGCTGGGCTTGTGGGGTCAAGCTGGGGGGGCGGGGGATCTCCAGTAAAAGTTGCCGTTTGCCGAGTAACACAGGTCCGGGGTTTGGAGGGGGGGGTGTAAAGACCGCCCAGGCGAAAACCCAATTATGTTATTATATAACGGGCTCCTTTCGTGTGGTGATAGATGAAAGTATGGAAACCCATGGGTATTCGTTTATTTCCGGGTTCCGGCTTTTTTGGTGATATTGTTTATTATGTACATTATTATGTACATATATTTCCCCGTTTGCCACCCCCCATCCCTCCCCCCCTTCCCGTGGGCTAACGGCAACATTTCGACTCTTTCCAAACTAGTACATATGGACGGTCGGTATGAGTTAGACCTGACGAGGGTTGTGTCTCACTGTACTCTCCAGCTGTCAAGAGAGGCTCATTTTCCTTCTTTTTTTTTTATGTACATGAGAAGCAAGGATCACATTTTGAAGCCGATCGTTGTTTTTTGCGACTAAGTAAGGTAGACGAGGAAATATCGTGAAGGATCACGTGATACTATGTCATTCGTGACACTTCGTGAACAACCGTCTACCTCTCTCTGTACGCCTCACAACAAAATAAATATGGCAGCGGCTCCCTTGCCGCCTTGCACACCGGTCTACCGAAAACCGACTGCTGGGACCCCAAAATAACGGCATCGATCACGCACAATGCTATGCATGTGAACGCAGTGTCGAACGGCATCAAGAAGTTGGTTATTTTGGGTTACTCTCGTTGCACCAAATGGCATTACTGTGTTACCTTTGCCCATGCAGATAAGGGGTCATTGGACATGCCAGCACCGCTCCTTGGCGCGCTACCAGGTGTCTCGTTCCCACGTCCCGCACGACAACGAGTTTTACCGGAGCACGTTCCGCGAAAGACGTTTTTTGACCGGAAACAAACGTGACGATGGAAGGGTCTCGGTAGACGGGCGTTTTTTTTCGCGGTTTGGATGGTTGGGTTTCTTCGTGACCCGCGCTGTCTGACTGCAAAGACAACCCCTCCTACGCACCACTGAGAACGAACCGCCGAGAACCGGTCCGAGAATAATCGGCGGATCGGCGCAACAGGACCGGTAAGTATTTGTTTTTTCGCCGCCCTGACGGGAGGAACTGCCCTCGTGCAAATGGGTGTAAGCCCGAAAAGGCAAGTAATACATCCAGTCTTCCTCGCGCCCTTCTGGCACCCCAGACATGGCAGAGATGAAGACTGAAAGACACTGAGCCATAGTGTATTGCTTGTTTTTTGGTGTGTTATTTCGTTGTTTTCAGCATTTAAGGTGCCAGCGACGTGAAGGCTCCTCACTGCTGAGAAACGTTCTCACAGGGCTTCAGGATGAAGCTTCACCACATACAATGCCGGCTGCCGTCGAGTCGTGGGTGCTAAGGACGAAGCCTTGCTTGCGTGGGATGGGTGCTGCTGTGATTCAAGTGTGTCACGTGATGACGAAAACGTGCGATGCAATTGGTCCCAGGCAGCTCGCAGCGAATGGTTTGGAGATCCCCCTGGGAGGTGGGCTTCAGCAGGGACAACCGTGACTGGTGCGTTGCTTCTTTTCTTTTTTTGCGACGGGTTCTTCGTTGGCGGGACGTTCCCATGGTGACACACACGTACTTGTTCGTTGATAGAGCGACGATTCTTGTTTCACGACACTTGCCGTTGAGTAAATCATAGTCTCCGGGACCTCTCGCTGACTCGAACCCGACCCCACACCAGCCGTCAGACTGGCGCAGAAAAGTGCCTGAACGAATGACAGTAATCCCCATACGACAAAAGCAGCAGCGACGGCGGCGGCGGTGGCAGGCTACCTTCGGTGCAGGGCCGCTGGTTACTCTACTACCCTGGTGCGCCTACGTTGTCAGCACCCTACCCGTTGATTTCCTCGTCTCCATACCCCTTGCGGAGACAATGAACTCGGCCGTTCCCTTGTCGGACAGATCGAAAAACTCCTCCAGCCAAGAGACAAAACCTGCCCCCTCAGGAGTACTCTGCAGGAGGAGGAGTCGCGTCTCTCGCCTCTCTTAGTTGCTCCTCCCTTCATCCTTGCTTGTTGTCCTGCTTCTCTAGTCTCGCCCGCCGCGCGCGCGTCTTGCGGTCAACCTTCGCCAGGTTCTTCGGTCCTCGCTTAGTTTTTGCGTAATCGAAATACCTCCTCATGTCGTACTTCTGCTCCATTCCGCATAGTCAGTGTTTTTTGTTGGGGGGGGGTGGTTCCCGCGAAAGGTGGTCACAGCATACAGCCCAGTCAGCACAACGGGTTGTTCAGCCGGCCGGGGGGGGGGCAGAAGGGCAACACCAAAAACGTAAGCGAATGTGGTAAAATATAGCTGCACAGCTGCACAGAGACCGAAAGGTACTATGCATTGCTCGCCTACAGCATGACTAAAGGTAGGCTTCATGCAGTTTCATTCTTAACCCTCTTTTTTCAAGTCCCAAACTCCACCGCGTCTACTTTTCAACATCACTCCTGAACCGGAGGCAAATCAATCTGACGGGAGGCAACCCGTCGGAGCTTATAACATCGAGACAGGTCACAAACGACAAGGCTCTAAAAAAACAAAAAAAAACAAAAACCACAGTGTTGCCGACTCTGTGCTGTAGAGGTCGACAGCCACCGTGGGAACGACTCACAAACAATGGCAAGGGTGGTGACACAAACACGGACACACACACACACACACACACACACACGCATTTTGGCCCCCGTCTAGGGACCTTGATTTTACCCGCTAGCACTGACGTGTTTTCATTGGTCAGCCGGTTAGCGCGGTCGATGCACAAAAAAAAAAAAAAACACACACACACACACACACACGAAAAAAAAAGCGCCACCACGACGACGGACGAAGCACGGGCGACCCACCTTTCCGGTTTGCGAGTCGACCATCTTGGTGACATCGTCCACCTCCTCCGGGGTGTTGATGTCGGCCTGCCTCAGGAGGTCCAAAACTCCCGTCTCCTTCACCTGCGGTGGAATGCATAAACCGAACGGGCCCGCAGGTAAAGAAATGTATCGAAACAGAGGCCCACATTTTCACGAAAATAGGTCTACGAATTATAGCACAGCAGTGGGTCCTACTCTAAACTCTATATGACAACCTGTGCTCCACAGTGGGGCGACGAAATGAGAAACTGAGTCTCAAAACCCGATTTTGACGTTTCTTGTCTCCAGACCCGTTCTGTGTTGTGAGTTCGCTACACCGGCCGATCAATTAGGTCACGATTATTCTCCTCCCCCCCCCCCCCCGCTCTTTCGCCCCAGGCTCCTCCGTCATGGCACCTAGGTGGACCCTGGTCCAGCAAGAACGGTAGAATGGTGCTCAGCTCCCTTGGCCGACGGGGAAGCAAACTATTTCTGTCTCTCCACTCTCTCTATCCGTTTCTCTGCCTCTTTGCTCCCTCTCTCTCTCTCTCTCTCTCTCTCTCTCCCC